GGTCTTTATATCACTATGTGGAGGACAGATTGACATTGGAACATGATCTTGTTATTTCAGATAATTTGTATTGGAATCCAGCAATTTGACTAACAAACTTTTAATATATTTTTAAATTTTATTTCAATCTATTTTCAGTTATCACTTTTATGATAGGATTATTTTAGATGGTGTACATTATCTTCTTTTTATTTGCATTTCTATAATGACAAATAAGTAAATTTACATTGTATATATGCTTGGCACTTTTTAAAATAATGGTATATTGGAAGCCTTTTACTAGATAGGTTCTCTCTTACTGAGCCATGCCTTCTAGCCTTCTTGACACTTCTTGTTAAGGTATCTGTCTGGATAGCAGAAATATATTCTTTCATCATCATCAAAACCAAAGTGTCAGGAGGAATCACACTTTCCTGACTTTTGATGGTAATTTAAATCTTGGCATTCTTTGACTTGCCACTGCATTCAATTTTCTTTTGCCACCTCATGTGATTTCTTCTCTACGTCTCTGTGTCTGGTGTTCTTTCTCTTATGAGGAGAGTCATCACTGGATTTAAGACCCACCCCCAAAATCCAAGGTGATCGTATTTAATTGTTCTTAAATACATCCACAAACACCTTTGCTTTCAAGCAAGGACATATTCACAGGGCCTTGGGTACAGACTTGGACAGGGCTGTTGGATACAGAAGATCTTAGGAAACACTACAGCCACATATTAATAAAGTACCCAAAGGTACCCAAAGCTTTATCTTGGTCTTTAGTCAGGAAAAAAATATAGATCGTATTATCTAATACTTTAGAAATCTTTAAAGAAAATTACAGACAGTACATACCTTCCTTGGGTACCTAGTAGAAAGCAACCAGCCACAAGTTTACCTTGCTTTGCTTTGTCTTATCTTATGGCCCTAAAATTTTCCTTTTAAGGGCTGCTTGCTTTCTTCTCCAGAAAAACCTGTGTGTGTGTGTGTGTGTGTGTGTGTGTGTGTGTGTGTGTGTGTGTGTGTGTGTGTGTGTGTGTGTAGGTGTTGAGAGGAATTATGGTGAAGGTAATTTTATTTGAAGGTAATTTTAGCATACAGGTTTCTAAACAGGCTTATGTTCTCTGTTCAGTGATAATGCAAAATCACAGTCTGGAAGTAGGACAAGTATTATTGTTCCTGCTTCTAAGGTAATCTCCAAAACAGCACACTTTTATTTTCACATAAACAAAGCAACAAATACCACTCACAAACTTCAAGAGAAGTAATGTGATTGTCACTAGTCATCTTTTACAGTCATTATTTGTATAGTAACTTACAAATTAAAGAGACAGCAGTAACGCTTCCAATTTATTCAATTATTAATATTCCACGGTAATTAAAATTCCAGTTGTTGTTGAGTGTATTTAGTGAACTAAACTTCAGTGACTAAAATTCATGTATACCAAAACCATGAAGCTTAAGGGCAGCTTTTGTAAAGAAAGCATCCATTCAAGAAGCTAGAAACTTTTTTTTAATGAACCAAAAGACAGAAAAAATAAGTTATGAAGGAGAAAAAGACTAAAAAATAATTATGAAAAAAAGTAAAAAAGTACAAAAGTATAAAAATACATTTTGAAAGAGCATTAACCAATAATGCATTTTGTAAACTATAAGAATGTACATAGCAAATAAAGGATTTTAAAGATACAGTTGCAGAAAGTACAATGGTGACAACAGTACCAATAGAGATGAGTTTGCTAATCTCTAAAGGACATTCCATTAATAATTTCCTTGAAAAATATAATTTTAAAGTTTTCCAAATTAGTGAGTCAATAATTTTATAAAAGAAAAATAGAGAAAATTAAAGAACTATCCTTAAATGATGGCATGAAATTCAAAATGAATTTTAGTGAAGAATAAAGATTAAAGAATACTAATGCTGTTTAAACAATTTTAGATTATAAATAACCTCACATTCTGTATTATCTTTGTAAGTTCAATAAAAAAAATTGATTTAAAAATCCAGACATTACATTCAAAAAAGGAAAAAATAGATTGCCTTAGTTTATAACATTGAATTGCAAATTGTTAATAAAACATTGGCAAGTAGAATGTAGCAAAATGTTAAATTATGGTTAAAATTAAAATATATAGTGCCCAAGCAAGGGTTTATAAAAATAATACAAGGTCCACTCTATTAGAAAACCTATTAAAATAACTCATCACAATATAATGAGCAAAGATGCTAAAAAGATATTTGACAAAACTCAACAAATTCTTGATTTAAAACTATTAATAAGCAGTATAATTCTTCCCTATAACATACAATTAATCACTACTAATGCAGAACAATCTTCAACATAATTAGGGACAGTGATGTGTATTTTTTTTTGGGGTCTGGTCATGGGGCCTGAACTCTGGGCCTGAGCGCTGTCCCTCAGCTCTTCAGCTCAAGGTTAGCGTTCTACCACTTGAGCCACAGCACCACTTCCAGCTTTTTTCTTTTTGCTTATGTGGTGCTGAGGAATCGAACCCAGGGCCTCTGGCATGCAAGGCAAGCGCTCTACCACTGAGCCACCTTCCCAGCACCAGTGATGTGTATTTTTATCCCTATTTCTTATAGTAAAGGTGTAGGCTACTGAACTCAGGAAAAATAAACTAGAAGTGAACTATCTAAAAGGAAACAATAAAAGTTTACTCTCTTCAAATAACATTGTTAACATGTAAAACCTAACAAAATCTATCAGAGAACTAAAATGAAAATAAATCAATACAGTGAGACCATAGAATATTAAAATAAAGCACAGAATTTTATATTTCATATAAAGCAAAATATTAGCAGATATTAGAGAAATTCCATATGCACAATAGCACATAAGCAAAATATTTAGAACTTTTGTAATGCAAAGTTTATATGATGGCTGTCAAAATATATCTGATGTAAAAGCTACATCAGCTTTGGTGTAAGTTACTTTTTGCCCAAGTAATCTAACTAGTTCTTAGACAATTGGGGTATTTGTTGAGAGTGGTCAGAGAGCTGTGTGGTACCAGCTTCTCAAGGTCTCTACAGGGCAGCTGGCACTCCTAATTAGAGCTAATGCTTCTTGCAATACAATATGGACACATATGTCTTGTCTGTCACCTCTTTGAAGGAGCTGTAGCCAAAACATGAAATGCTGTCTCACTTTGCACAGAAGTTTAGGACATTTTAATGTGATGGATTTTTTTCCTGCACATTAAGAAATTGCACCAAATGGCACTTTAAATGTAGAGAAAGTCTTAAAAGTATATATGCACCTTCTAAGTCTTTTTATAAAATAATTTTAAAAAATATTATCAAATCAAAATTTTCAGCTAACACGTTTTCTTTTTAAGGCTGTTAAATTCAGTGTCTATACTGTTTTACATGCTTATTTACCCTGGGAGAATAACGTAAGTGATCCTGTAATAGAGGACATAAACACCAATTTTAGTGATTTCATCATAAAACATTTTAGGTGGAATATTAGTTGTCAAGAGGAGATTCAGTGAAGTTAAGTTTGCCAGTTGTGCTCAGCCATGTTATTTGAAGTACTTTTAGACTCTCCCCGTTTCCACTCTCACCATACTCTCAGCAAAACTAATATAGGGTGTCCTCTCAAAGAATATGAAAGATACTGGCCTAGAAACCTCAATTTTGAACTTTTTGGGGGGGTCATGGGTCTTGAACTCTGGACCTAGGCACTGTCCCTCAACTCTTCAGCTCACTTCTTACCACTTAAGCCACAGCGCCATTTCCTAGAAACCTCAATTTTAAGGGTTAATTCTCACTTTCACTGTACTTGGAAAAGTGTAATCGGAAAACAGCCTTGTTTCCTTTTAAAAAACAGTAACAAAAAAACTCATAAAACAAAAAGACTTCAGGCCACAAAGCTCAAGATCTGTTTTTTGATAGGCTTGGAAAAAGTTCTAGTGAAGGGCCACTTGCGTCCTTGTAGCAGTTATCCCAACATCGTATTCATCAGCTACAAAACGTCAGCTCCTTTTGAAAAATCATCGAAGACCCTCTGGACTGGCCTCATGATTAGTCTACAAGTACGTACTTAGGCCTGCGTCCAATCACATTGACCTTAGGACTAAAGGATGACTTAACGGAGTTGGAAGTGTGGCCTCAAGACCTAGAACACCAGACGGGGGGAGAGAAGGGAGCTGAAAGAATGAAGCCTGGAGTACAGGCTCCAGTACCTGCACACATAGAAAAAACCAAAACCAAAATCCACACTCATCAAGTAAGCACACGGCTCTTTTATCAGAAAGCGTAGGTGGCTCTTAAAAGAGCCTTTGGGTTAGAAACGAACTTGGGTTGCCAAATTTACTTGGAGCTGGTGTACTTGGTGACCGCCTTGGTGCCCTCGGACACGGCGTGCTTGGCCAGCTCCCCGGGCAGCAGCAGGCGCACGGCCGTCTGGATCTCCCGAGACGTGATGGTCGAGCGCTTGTTGTAGTGCGCCAGGCGCGACGCCTCGCCCGCGATGCGCTCAAAGATGTCGGTGACGAAAGAGTTCATGATGCTCATGGCCTTGGAGGAGATGCCAGTATCAGGATGAACCTGTTTCAGCACCTTATAGATGTAAATGGAGTAGCTTTCTTTTCGGGTTCTCTTGCGCTTCTTCCCCTCCTTCTTCTGAGTCTTAGTGACAGCCTTCTTGAAGCCCTTCTTAGAGATGGTGGCGCCCTTCGAAGATACCTCAGGCATAGTTGGTACACAGCCGTAAAACGCCTACCCGTCCCGAAACCGCCAAGCAAACGGAGATCCAAAGGCCCGAAAGACTGGTATTTATAGGCTTGGTATTCAAATGACGTATGGTATCCACTATCTGATTGGATAATGGTCTTTGCGTGTATGTAAATCAGGTTATTCGATCAAACCTTTCTGATTGGCCACAGAATCATCAGCCAATCAAGTGTCCATTTGCGACCTGCTGTCAGAGTATAAATAGACCCATAGCAGTCAATAGATTACCCATATAACTTGCTCTATAAGGGTATCTTTTGGAACTATGTGTGTGAGGAGCAGGCAGACCGGCAAATCCCGCGCTAAGGCCCTGTCCCGCTCTGTTAGAGCGGGCTTGCAGTTTCCTGTGGGCCGCCTCTACCGGCTGCTCCGCCAAGGCAACTATGTCAACCGCATAGGAGCCGGAGCCCCAGTGTATCTGGCTGCGGTACTGGAGTATCTGACAGCTGAGATTTTGGAGCTGGCTGGCAATGCAGCCCGGGACAACAAGAAGACGCGCATTACTCCACGTCATTTGCTATTGGCTATCCGTAATGATGAAGAGCTCAACAAGCTATTGCGTGGTGTGACAATCCCACAGGGTGGCGTCCTGCCTCACATCCATGCTGTGCTGTTGCCTAAGACCAGTGGTCATAAGATTCAGAGCAAATAACTTCAAGAAGCAAGTTTCATATGACCTACCTGGTGTAAACGGCACAAACGGCTCTTTTCAGAGCCACCTACAGATTCAGACAAAGCTAGCTGTGCACGATCTACTCGAGTGATCCTCGTGGACTAGGCCATCAAGACCATCATTTTAACTTTATTGTGGTGCTCTTGATTTTTGGTTTCTCATGGATTATTGAACCCTAAATCAACGAGTAGAAAAAAATTGGAGACAGTAATGCACAAACCTAGCCCCCTGCCAACTGCGGGCTGTGGAAACTGGTACGTAGTAAACTGGTGGTAGCAACTCTTAACACACTTTGGAGTACTCCAGAGAAAAGAGCTAGTTGCGGATATTCTAGCATTGAAACAGATCATTTCTGAGGTAGTGTGAAGATAATACTGTTTGATTCTCAATAGATTAACGGGCATATATGGATTAAATCACAAATAGACTGATTTTGCTACTCTTGCTTTAACTCAGTCTTACAGGTTCTGTGATTTCTCCGAACTGTCTCTACAAAAGAATTTCCTTCCCAATGTAGTAATGTCCGTATGGTTAGGTTTCACATGTACTTGAGTAAGCCAAAAGTGAGGAAGTAAGCTAAAATGTAGGAGATGTGTAAAGGAGTATTTCTGAATAGTTGATGCTCAAAGTAATAATAGGATTGTTTCTTAAGAATAACATATAATCCTAGCAGGAGGCTGAGGTCGAGGATCGAGATTTAATTAGAAGCCAGCTAGGGCAGATAAATCCCAGAGACTTAGCTCAAATTAACAAAAAGCCAGAAAGTGAAAGTATAACTCGAGTGGTAGAGTACCAGCCTTGAGTGAAAAAGCCATGCAAGAGCCTTGTGTTAAAGCCCTAGTACTCGCACCAAATGTGTGTGTGTGTGTGTGTGTGTGTGTGTGTGTGAAAATGAATAATGTGAAAAAAAAAACATCATTTTTTGAAATTTAGAAATTAGGGACAATATTTCCAAAGTTTTAGCTACTAAAAGATAGCAATGTGAGCTGTAAAAACTGTAAAATCGAAAATTGTTATTCCAGAAGCATACGTCAAAATAAATCTCTTTATAGTGCATAGACTTGAGCATTTCATTATAGTAACAAAATGGAATGACTGAGTCAGAGTATGCAAGAATTTGTAGGGTTTTAAAAATATATATATCATGAAGTTACTTTTCCAGATGATTATACACAAAACAAAACATGAGTATATTGTTTCATTTTGCCTTCATGGAAATTAGCCCTTTAACAATAAAGATCATAGTGAACAAAGAGTTCATTTGTATTTCTTTTCATCAGAATGAGGCTAGTGTGTGTGTGTGTCTATGTGTCTGTGTGTCTGTCTGCCTGTCTGTCTGTGTGATATTTTTTACCAGTTCTACCTTGCAAAATGCCATGGTGGGTTTATTAAAAATGAACTTAAACAATGAATTCACACACATGTTTTTTATTGTTGTTTTGTTTTTTTGTTTGTTTTTTTGTTTTTGGTCATGGAGATTGAACTCTGGGCGAGGGTGCTGTCCCTCAGTTCTTCAGCTCAAGGCTAGCACTCTACCACTTGAGCAACAGCACCACTTCTGGTTTTCTGAGCGGTCTATTGGAGATGAGTCTCATAGACTTTCCTGCCCAGACTAACTTTGAATTGTGATCCTCAGATCTCAGCCTCCTGAGTAGCTAGGACTACTGATGTGAGCCACAGACACCCAGCTACATTAATTGTTTTTTAACATTATAAAATAACATAAAATTAGGCCCTTAATAGAATATTTTTAGTCTGAAAATAATTTTACAGTGCAGTTGAATCTTTTAAACTATTTCTTGATGAAGAACAAAATTCTTTACTAATTTGAAATATGGTTACACAAGAGCTCCTTTAATGTAAAAAACAATCATTATTAACACCAAAGGCAGCCTAGTAGGAATTTCATGTAAAAATATATCCAATTTTTAATACATTTCAGAAATTACACTGGGAAAAATTTACAGTTATTAATATATTATTTAATAAGTCTAGGGAGAAAAGTAGAAACCATTGCTTAAAATATATATTCAGACTTCAACTTTTTGTGTACTGGTAAAAATATAAAATCAGAAAGTAATTAAATTAACAGTAATTATAGAACACCCACAGGGACTTGGTAATATTTTGTGTCAATTGTTATTTCTGCCTCTTGTAAACACAGAAATTGGACAGTCCTGTTTTAATGCTCATCTTTCCTACTTTTGAACTAAATGGTTTTGAACAAGCTAATTAATATCTATGGGCCTGATGGTAATACTTATCTAAGAGGGTTATCGTGATGATCAAACTGACATAATGCATAGAAAGCTTCTAGCACACATTCAGGTAGTATTTTTCTCCATCTAACTCAATGGTCCTCCAGAGATGATCTCCATCTAAATCAGTGGTCCTCCTCCACCGTAATTTTGCCTCCCAATATACATTTTACATGTCTAGAGACATTTTTGGTTACTAAAATCAGGTTATATGTTTCACAGTTAGCCAAGTTATGAAATCAGCCTAGGTACCCATCAACAAATGAATGGATAAAGAATATTGGGCACATGTACCATGGAATGTTTTTCAGCCAATAAAAAAAGAAAGAAATCATGTCATTTGCAGAAAAATGGATGAAAACTGGAGATTATCATGATAAGTAAAATAAGCCAGACCCAGAAAGACAAGATAAGGAATGCCTGAGATTGCCAGCAAGCCACCAGAAATGAGGCAAGAGGCCTGTAAGTGATTCCCCTCACAGCTCTCAGGGAAATCAGCCCTGCGGATGCTAGTTGTTAGATTCCCAGTCCTTCCAAGTCCCCAGTACTGTAAAACAACACATTTCTGTCATTTCAGCCACCAAATTTCTGGCTCTTAGCAAATCTGGGTTTGGGGTTCAGCCCTTCTAACCTTGTAACTCTCTATGTAATCTTCCTTTCCTTCTTTTTCTTTTTTGTTCCCTCCTTCCCTCCCTCCCTCCCTCCCTCCCTCCCTCCATCCCCCCTTCCTTCCTTCCTTCCTTCCTTCTTTTACTGGTGTTGATAGCCCTACCCTTGCATTTTCAATGCAAGTGCTCTACCACTTGAGCCTTTTTGCTTTTAGTTTATTTTATAGGGAAAGTCTCATGCTTTTTGCCTAGGACCAATCTTAGACAGTGATAATCCTTTACTTCTCATGGTGCTGGGATTACAGGCATGAACCACCAGCAGTGAATGTTCTTTTCTTGATAGACCAACTGTCTTACTTGCTGAGGGGAAATCTTTGATAGGGATAAAGGATGGCCTCCTGAGATATGTGGGCTCTGAACTTTCTTGAAGATAATATTTGATATGTGGGGAGTGAGGTTTGCACAAATGAGGGCAAGAAAACTCCCAGACCAGTTTGACTGGAACAGAGGACACATATAAGTAAGCACATGCTTAAATTTTTTTGCATTCCAGGAGTGCTACCAATATGGTTTTGTACTGGGTTGTAAATCTGCCAGAGATAAAATTTGTAGCCAATAAGGAGCTGTTTAAGATTTCAGTGAAGCTGGGCGCCTGTGGCTCACGCCTGTAAACCTAGCCTGTAATCGGGAGGCTGAGATCTGAGGATCACGGTTCAAAGCTAGCCTGGGCAGGAAACTCCATGACACTCTTATCTCCAATAACCACTAGAAAACCAGAAGTGGTGCTGTGGCTCAAGTGGTAGACCACTTGCCTTGAGCTAAAGAGCTGAGGGACATTGCCCAGACCACCACCACCAACAGCAACAACAAAAAGGTTTCAGTGAACTTGAGTATGCCTATTATGAAAGATTAGGCTTTCATAAAATCAAGTTTATTATTTGGCTTGTTGGCAGGCCCAGAATAGGGGTGGGAGAGAAGAGACAGAGGTTCACTGACATACTTCTAATATCCAGACCTGCAGATGAGTGCCCAGCTCCTCAGCCTTTCCACTCCTTATGCTATCTGGATCTCAGTACAAGGAGGAACCTGGCTTCTGCTCTGCATACCTGTTGAGGTCAAAATAGCAGGCAAAAAACATTTGGAGATAGAGTTTTCTTGTCCAAGAGAGCAAAAAGAGCAACTAGAAAATGTCCAAGGGCCTACTACCAGTGTATGACTTGGGCTAAAGTGACCCCTGGGGTTACCAAGTATAAAATAACAGATGGGACTGGGTTTTTTGGTTCTTTAAGAGAGCTCACTAATGACCTTTGGCGGCCCCAAACGTGCTTATTAGAGCAAAGATGGAAAGATGAAGCTGACAGCTACTAGGTTTCCTTCATTTATGTGTTTTAAACTCAAGAATTTTATGTTGAGTAGCTACATCTGTTAAAGGTCATCCTCAACCCTGAAGCATGTGAACTAGGGCTTCCAGCCCCCTGGTGACAGCAAGCTTGATCTAATTGCAGGCTGCCCTCTTCAACAGTTCTTTTTGACTGAACAAATGCTGCCTTTCTGCCTCTGGCTTAATTTGGAGTTACACGAACGCTATAATCCATGTGTAACAGCTGAGAATGGCTCTTAGATAATCACTCTGCAAAGCAATATCATTAGCAATATTAATACTTGCCTGTAGATTACTATAATTACACATGTAGTAAGCAATGCTGACTCAGAATGACACAGATTTATTTAAAAAAAAAAAAAAGACTATGTACTAAGCAAGGGTTTCCAAACAAACAATTCTTCCCTCCCCCTCTTTCCACCATGCATACAACATTTTCTCACACTCAGTTCTCCTACTATCTGTACTAAAAAATTTAGGGGAGAAAAATGTTGCTTCGATGTCTATGCCCTCAATTTCTAAGCATTATATTTTGATAGATGAAGAAAATTAAGACATAAAATGGAGCTTAACTCATGACTCCTTTAAAAAATCACTATTAATGTTGGCTGCACATGTGAGTAAGTTGGGGTATTTTTACCAAAAGAATAGTGTTGTGGTGGTGGTGGTGGTGATGATGATGATGATGAATGATGATGATGATGATGATGATGATGATGATGGTGGTGGTGGTGGTGGTGGTGGTGGTGGTGATACAGCTTGAGTCTGCTTATTTTCCACTTCATTGCTAAGCTTGGGACAAAAGTAACCAAATTGACCATAGCACATGGAATTCTTTCAAAGATTATGCTATTTTCCTGCCATGAAGCTAGGTCTAATTTCAGTGTTCTGAGATCCAAAGAACTTTATTAGTTACTCCAGACCTCCAGACAAGGTAAGACTTTTTTTTCCTATTTGGAAGTGGGAACCAGTTTGCCTTCCTGTTTCTCCAGGATCTTCTACTCTCCCAACCCCAAATACTCATACATTAAATTTTCATGCTTCTAAGAGAAAGAAACCTAGGGGAATTATAGATCAGGGCCATTTACCTTTCCCAGAGTCTTTGTCATATAAATCGGTCATTTGTTTAACAAGAAAGGAATTGACACAAAGTTGTCTCACAAATTACAATTTCAAACTAGGCAGTGAACCCCAAAGGCAAGCCCATTGGAGGTAAAGCAGAAGCTAGTAATACTGATCCTGGCTTTGTTTATCATGCTGGTATTTTACATCAAGGGTTTTTATACTTTGTGGTTTAGGACTGAATTAAATGAGTGGTTTTCTTTATTACTGAATTTCCTTTAAATGACCCCTTAGATTTTGCTCCAGGGGTACATACCTCTACCCTAGTTATCCCTGGTAGGGAGTTACTCAGGGCACAACAATCACCACAGAAATCACCTATATGAATGGAAAGAAAGATCAAGATTTGTGTCAAAGTTCATCTGAGAGCCAGGGCACTAGTGGCTCATGCCTATAATTCTAACTACTCAGGAGGCTGAGATCTAAGGATCTTGGTTCAAAGCCAAGATCACAGAAAAGCTGGATATGGCTCAAGTGGTAGAGTACTAGTTTTTGAGCAGAAAAACAAAAGTTCAGAGATAACAAGTAGGCCCTGAGTTCAAGTCCCTGGGATGAGTACAAAAAGAAAAATTTCACTGGAGGCCTTAGTCAAGACAGAAAGGTAGGATATTGCATGTATATTTAAATCTAAAGAATTCAAACACACACTCTAAGAAGTAAACTTTAAAAAAAAAACAGATTTGTGTCTTTCTCTGTCATCTCTATCACTTACTGGCTACAAGACCTAGGACTACTTAATTACTCTTCTAAACCCCAATTTTTTCATAATGACACTTTTATCAAAGCCCTCTCCTCAACTTGTACTTCAGCAAGATGGGAAGTTCTTTTCTGCTACTGCAGGCCAAGGTTAAAGCCTAGAATCTCTGTTACTTGGATTACCAGCCTTAGTGGGAAAGCTGGAAGATGCACTACTCATTCAAATTTTGGGATAGGGAGTAGGCTTAAAGAGAGAAGACTTAAATGTGAGCAGAACAAATCCTGAGATGATTACAAGGGTGGGAGGTTAGGACTTTAGAGTTCCATGAGGAACTATTGGACAACTTCCAGGGAACATACCATGAACCAAAGGAATTAAGACAGATGACTGGGATTCACTTTTGGGGCATTAGGACAGGAGTTAGTATTGTTAGAACCTTCAAATACTATAAAAACATTGTTACTCTTTTGAAAGTTTCCTATTCTTTTAAATGAGCTGAGATACTGGTAGCTAGGGAGATTTAATTCCCTAATCCATAGTTGATAGACCTGTTCCCAGTACCCTAGTAACCTTAAGCAGCCTTGCTCAAAGCAGGCTGCTCTAGGTCAGCACCAACTGCTTTGAACTCTGACACACTCTGGCTAAGGATGACACTTCTTAAAACGTAGCTTGGACCAGGTGCCTTTTGCTACAACAGCAGCTACTTCTATCCAGGCTATAAGTAGAGGAGAGCACTTTTCCTTCCTATTCCTCCCCACCCCCCCAACAGTGACTCAGCGACCTGTGATTGGTGCATGCACAATCCTTCATTAGCATAAGGGACCACCTTAACTGGTAACAAGGAAAGGGCCCAATTGGTGTAAACACAATCCTTCATTTGCATAATGAACTTCCTGATTCATACAGGTATTTTACCACAACCTCTTTCTCCATATATAAGCAGGCTATGCAGGTTGCTTTATGAGCAGCCAGGAGACATCCTCCTGTGCCTATGCCCCTAGTCCTTTTGCTTGAACTTGGCATCAGTAGTTGCTACTTTGACCATCTGGGAGGTCCCTCCCTCTCCCTCCCAACTTGCCCCACCCTGCAGATAGATAAGTGTTTTCATCTGTTACCACCAGGACAAACTTTTCAAAGGTTATAACACAAAAGAAATTACCAGTACACCTTTATTCTCAATTGCATATTTATTTCCACATGAAAACCTGTTGGTAGAAATGACACAACTATGCCACATGTCACTCCGACTCAGCAGGAAGTCCACAAGAAGAGTACAAGATGATAAAGATCTAACAGGTGAGCTGAACTTTGGTTTGGAGAGAGGAGCAAGGAAGCTCAGGGTCAAGGGGAAACAACACAATCTTTCTGGGGTTGGGAGCTAGCAGAGAAGCAGGATTGCCTGGCCACCGGAAGAAGTGCCTCAGAAGCCCTCCCATTGATTCAGAATAACCACCGAGTCCCCAGTAGCAAAGCACAGATAAGATTCTCACAGCACTCAGAAACACAATCAGAGGACAGGGCAAAGCTGCAAGACAATCAGGGGTTGAGTTTCAGCCCAAGACACAAAGCCAGCTCGGACTTCTGAATTTTTCCATCCTTGTTCACATCGCAGTGGCGCAGGAGAATCTCCCGGAACTTATCAAGGTCCACACCGCTGATGCTGGGCTGAGGACAGAGGATAAAAAAGGAATGTGTCAATACACAAGCCAGGAGATGTGCCACCCTCTAGCACCCAGTCTGATCCTGAGCTTTCCTGCCTTCCAAAGAAACCTTTAAACAATCTTCAATGAAGGAACAAAACTTTCCTTTCTGTAATTGGAGAACCACATTCAAACACATTGATTTACACTTTCCAACTGATTCAAATCTGACACTGATAGAAGGCTTTGAAGAGGAAGGAAAAAAGAGAGCAATAGTAATGGAGCCAGACAGTGGAACAGGAAGAATAAACAACAGAGCAGTCAAAGTTGGATTTGGAAGACATCAGATCAATTTGGTCAACTTTATCCCCCTATGAAGGTATGCTGAATAATTATGCTGCCTCTCCTCTGTCACTGAAGACCTTTGTAACCTGGGTATCAAGCAGGTCTAAGTGTGGTCCAAGGAAATGTGGCTTGGAAGATCTGAAAACAGCCAGTCTCACGCTGAGGCCTCATTTTAGAAGGGGCTTCATTTGCTTATTGTACAATTGCAAAGTAGGGTTTTTTGTTTTCTGCATCAGAGGAAGGGAGTATGATACTGGGAATTGAACCCAAGGTTCCTGCATGCTAGGCAAGCAATCTACTAGTTAAGCCATTCCCTCGTTGTATTTCTGTTGCTGGGCTTGGCCTAGGAAACAATGAGACCTACATTCAGGGCCAGTCTTATCCTGCCAACGCTGTATCAGACTAAATAGGGATTCTTTTTCTAATTTATTCAGAATCTTTTTACTATGGAGGTAGAGCAGCCTGCTGAGAAAACTGGGAAGTGCTGAGAAAAACTGGGAAGTCTGCTGAGACTTCTGCCTTCCAACTGTCTTCCCCCAAACAATTCCCACAGTTTCCACAGTACCCAGTATTTTTTCATTAGATTTTTCACACAAGGATTACATGCCTTCTTCAATCTCTCTTTTAAAATTTGTGTATCAGATAGGCACTGGGTGGCTCATGCCTGTAATTCTAGCTACTCAGGAGGCTGAGATATGAGGATTCAGGTACAGACCCAGCACTAGCAGAAAAGTGCATGACATTTTTATCTCCAGTTACCAGCAAATAGCCAGAGTGGAGATGTGACTGAGGTAGTAGAGTACCAGCTTTGAGGGAAAATGCCAAGTGGGAGCATATGGCCCTGGGTCCCAGTACTGGACGAAAAAAAAAGCTAAACTGGAGGTACATGCTTATAATCATAGCATTTAAGAAGTTGAGACAAGAGGATCGTGAATTTGAGCTCAGTTCGGGCCAAATAGTAAGACGTTGTCTCAGAACAACAGCAACAATTACAGTGAGAATATTTTATATATGTATGTGTACACACACACACACACATTATACACACACACACACACACACACACACACACACACACACACACACACATATATGCAGGCAATTCTCTTCTGTGACAGACAAATAATCTGGCCTACAATGAGTCATCACTAGCTTCCTGGGTAGAAGGGAGGAAAAACAGAGCTGGATGAAGGGCCATAAGAGAGGGAAATAGAGAACATATTCTGCTAAACCTTGGGTGCTAGGAATTTTAAAGGGTGCAAAACCCTTGCCTTAGTCATTCTATTCTTAGCACAAGGACAAATAGACTTAAAGACAGGGATGTCCATCACAGCAGTAATTTGAATCACACACATAAGAAACCATCTATAGGATTAGTGATAGGGAAAGTGCTTAGAGAACTTACGATGTAAGTTCAGGTGAAATACTATACTCACTGAATGGTTATAACTAAGTAATGCTATTTGGTATAATCTCGATGCTTATTTTGGTTATAATCTCAAGAACATCGAGGAGATACATCAGTTCATAGTACAATAGAGTGTAGAGACTCTTCTATTTTTTTCATGTCTGTGATATATGATAATTTTTACAATTTAAAAATGAGAAGAAACATGTGTGTTAAGGGCAGACTCTTTGGAGGGACATATGTTAAATTCAATCCTATAGGTTTGGTACTGTCTCCTCTTGCCAGGCATCTTTCTGGCATAGCAGAGAAAAGCAGATGTTGCCTATCTAGGAATAGAAAGACTTTGAGGAGGCCTGGAAGTGGAACTCTCATTACCTCTACTCAGATATCTGAATCATCTTGTTTGCTCAAGGATAATGCTCTACCACTTTGAGCCAAAACACCACTTCCAGTTTTTTGGGTGGTTAATTGGAGATGAGTCTTTTGGGGACTTTTCTGCCAGGGCTATCCTCCAATCTCAGCCTCCTGAGTAGCAAGGATTATAGGCATGAGCTACTGCCACCTATGGCTTTTTAAAAATAAAATTAAAAAATGTCACAGGAGATAATGTTTATAAAGCCAAAAATATTAGATTCAGTTAGTGGCTATCCTTTGATTACATCCATAACATTATATAATAAATTCTCCCCCATGCCACTGGGGTTTAAAATTAGGGCCTCACACTTGCTAGGCAATGGCTGTACCTCTTGAGCCACACCTCTGGCCATTTTTCTAATTCTTAGATGGAGTCTGTCTCTTTTATTTTTTTTTTTTTTTGTCGGTTGTGGGGCTTGAACTCTGGGCCTGGGCCCTGTCCCTCAGCTCTTCAGCTCAAGGCAAGCACTAGACCACTAGAGCTACGGTGCCACTTCCAGTTTTCTAGTGGTTTATTGGAGATAAGAGTCTCGTGATCTTTCCAGGCTGGATTTAAACCACGATCCTCAGATCTCAGCATCTTGAGTAGCTAGGATTACAGGCATGAGCCACCAGTGCACTGCTAGGGGTCTGTCACTTTTGCCCAGGCTAATCCTGTATTACTATCTTGCCTCCTAGCTGGGACCATTTGCATGTACACCCTTGCTAGGCTGGTTTTTGAGCAAGAGATCTCACTAATGTTCTTGCCCAGGATGATCTCAAACTATAATCTTCCCATCTCCATCTCCATCTCCCTAGTTGCTGGAATTATGCAGTGAATATATTTTTAAAACTTTGAAAAGTAAGAAAAGATTCAATAAAAACTAGGAAGGATACAAGAAAGGTTTGTATCCTCTGTTGTCTGTCTTAAGAGAATAACAACAATCAATAACCAATTAATATGCATATCTTTTTTCTTTTTCTTTTTCTTTTTTTTTTTTTTTTTTTTTTTGGTGCCAGCACTGGAGTTTGAACTCAGGCATTAGGTGCTGTTCCTGAGCTTCTTTTATTCAAGGGTTTCGGGGGGCATTTTTTGGGTAGTTTAATGGAAATAAGAGTCTCATGGATTTTCTTGCCTGGACTGGCTTTGAACTGCAATTCTCAGATCTCAGCCTCCTGAGTAACTAGGATTACAGGTGTGAGCTACTATGCACATAATTTTAAGTTTAACCAATCATCTGGGATCCTCCATAGCCTGCTTTGTGTCACTGATTACAGTCTAGTTCAGTCTTTGGCTAGTGCTAACAGGAAGAAGTGTTTCTTTGCCTCCTTGGCAGCCCCAAAGAAAATGAGGCAGGGGCAGAGGTGGTGTGGACTTCTGACTTCCCGTGAAAGTGATGTGAACCCATCAAAGGGCGTGACTGATGCCTGCCTCCAACTAATCTTTAGGGGTGATCTAGAAGTTTGCCTTTCTCTTTAATTTTTTTCTCTGAAAAAAATGTCTATCTACTGTGCTGCTGGTTTTCTTTTTTATTTCTCTTGACAACTATTACCAAACAGAGAAAACTGAAAGGCAGAATCGTTGAAAACTTTAGATTATTATCCAGAGTCAAAAAAATGGCTTTTTGTTATTATTTTTATATTATTTGTTTTATTTTCATTCTTGAGGCAAAGTTTCACTGGCCTCAAACTCTTGATGCTCCTGTCTCAGCCTCCTGAGCTCTGGAAATATAGCTATGAGCTACGATGCCTGACAACAATTGATGACTTTAAATGGTGAATCTGCCCCCCAAAATATGCTGTATATAAATATCTAGGGTATCTTTAAAAAATCACATGGATAGAGTGAAAAATGTATAGTAAGTAGAGTTATAAAAGCTCTATTTGCTTTCAGATCAATTCATTATATAATATATAACAGCTAAGATTTATTGAATTATCAATGATAGCTTTTTTTTTTTTTTTTTTGGTCAGTCGTGGGGTGTGAACTTTGGGCTTGGGCACTGTCCCTGCACTCTTCAGCTCAAGGCAAGTGCTCTACCACTTAAGCCATAGCACCACTTCTGGTTTTCAAGTGGTTTATTGGAGATAAGAGTCTCACAGCCTTCCCTGCCCGGGCTGGCTTTGAACTGTGATCCTCAGATCTCAGCCTCCTGAGTACCTAGGATTACAGGCGTGAGCCACCAGCACAATGATAGATTTTTATTATGGCTAATTAATACAGTAGCACAATATTGTATTATGCAAATTTTCTCCTGTAATCTTACTGACAACTTAATGGAGGTAGAACCTATGACATTCCTCATTTTTTAGATGAGGAAACTGAGGTTTAGAGATGCTAAACAACTTACCCAAGATCACACTATCAGTTAGTATCACCTGGAATTCAGGGTGATCAGCTTGGAATCTGAATTTCTTGGTCTGAATTCGTTAGCATCTTAACTTTTACTTTCTTTGCTTTTCAATATTTTTCAACAATATACCAAAATCATAAAAGAAAACACTATGGTAAAAGAAAATACTATGGTAAGTTCGTTGCCATAGAGCACAGCCAAACCTATCTTTTAGAATCTCTTTGGCAAGTCTTCTTTGATATTACTATTATAAGCATGATTATCCACTTGTATGGTATGCTCACACACCAACTACTTGAGAAGTGGAGATAGGAAGATCATGGTCTGAAGCAGCTTAGACAAAAAGCCTATACTCTGAAAAATGACTAAAAGCATAGTTAATTCCTTTTGTGAAATTCCCATGCAAATGTTAACTATTCTCAAGCTTGGACATGTGCTCTAAATCATATAGGTTCTTTAAGCAAATATTATAATAAACACTACTATATTCAGAAATGACACTGTGACAGCTATCTATGCTATTGTTAGTAATCACACAACCTGGGGAATCAAATATTATTATGTGCACTTGATGGATAAGAAATTAGGTATCAGGAAATAGCGCTGTGGCTCAAATGGTAGAGCGCTCGCCTTGAGCTGAAGAGCACAGGTTCAGCGCCCAAGCCCAGAGTTCAAGCCCCACAACTGAAAAAAAAAAGGAAGAAATTAGGTATCAGAAGGTGAGTAACTTGTCCACAAAATGCAGTTAATTAAAAAAAAATGGCTGAGCCAGAATTAGAGCTTGGATCTGTCAGGCTCAGATCTGTCAGACTCCAAAGTACTGTCATGCTGTCTCCTCTGCAAACACACACACACACACACACACACACACACACACACACACACACACACACACACACACACACAAGCTTCCAATCCATTGTTTTCATAGAAAAGAGAAGAACAAAAAAGGAGGATCTGACATTGCCACTATGACAGTCCCTCTGAAAAATGCTATCCCAATTTGAATGCATCTAAGAAACAAGAAAAAGGATAGCAAAGATGGAAGCTATATGGGGTTAATGACAAATTCCTCACTCTGGCTGGGTGGCCACACTTGCTACTTAGCTATGTATCTAGATCACAGGGAAGGGGGAGTAGGAGGCCAAGCTCACTGCCTAGGGTCTGTAAAAACTTAAAGTACTCAGGTCTTCAACTGAAACAATCACCAGCCTCAGCTCTTCTGTATATAGGAGACTAGAAAGCTCCCTCCAACAGGCTCACCTTCCAATTCACTCCATGAGAGCAAATGAAAACTCCATTTTGGCAAGTCTTTCATGCAACACTAATGTCCCAGAGATAATTGCCAGCTTTTCATTACAGAAATCATTCTGCATTAAATAGATAGTGAACAATTTTTCCTTGGCAATCAATGCAAAGGGAAACACTATGCAAATATATATCAATAATTATTCTATGTGAATGCCTGCTATATATACAACTGGGGCAATAGGCTAAAGGAGAAAAAGAGAGTCAAGGGACCAGTTAGGATGGGAATAACAAATTAGGAGTTATAGATATATCAGTCATCCTGATTGGACACCAGAAAGAATTTTTGTGCCTGCTCAATAATAAAATATGAATTTCTTGAAGATTTGTTCAAAATTGATAAATTGATATATGGACATTTTTCTACTGCAATGATCCATAGCTTTAATCAGATTTACAAGGAATTTAGAGATTCTAGAAACAGTTATTGATTGCTATTCTGATTGTTACTGTCTATGCCATTTAGGACAGAATCATTGAATCCCACAGAAAAGGAAGACTTTGAAATTATCTGCTTAATCAGATTATGCAACAGGACCTCAAAGGAGATTGTCTTTTAAAATATATTGTCAAGCCTATATAAAATTTATAGCTTACATTTATACCATGTAAATATAACCTCAAGTACATCAGTCTGAGCCACATCATTTTCTTAATACATATACCCTTTCTTAGTCTGGATGTTAGAGAAACCCATTGGTGAGAATTCTAGAATTCTAAATAGGAGAACTATTATATGAAATTAAATTTAAAATTTTAGTTATTTTTCTAATCAAATCCAGAGAGTTAGAAAGTATTTTCTGCAACAAGAAGGCAAAAAAATAAACTTGTCACAGTAGCTCATGCCTGTAATTCCAACTACTTGGGAAGTGAAGCTAGGAAGATCATAGTCTGAGGCAGCCTAGGCAAGAAGCATAGATGCTGAAAAATAGCTAAAAGCATAGAAAAGGAATCTTGACACATGGCTCCAGTGATAGAGCACTTATGTTGTAGGCATAGGCCCTAAGTTCAAATCCTAGTAGCATAAGAAAATGAATAAGAAAGAAAAATTAATATATACAATAGTAATACACTATTTTGTGAAGTAATATATAATGAAATAATATATGATGCCAAAAGATGCTTCAACAATGAATGCATGTAATTTAGACTAAGACAATCTTAAGGAAATGAGAGAGAGATGTTGGGTTTCACAGAATCTCAAACACTATTAAACCGATCACATCTCTTGATATTTCCTGCTGGCATTAAACTTCAACTTAATTCCCATAGAATAAGCAATGGCATCAAAGTAGCAATCTCAGTCCATGATATGAATAATCTTAGCTTCATAAAATCACCTGAACAAGCTCCATCATGTCTTTGACAAATCCATCCACTTCTGGACCTTCCAGGGCTCCAGTTTTACTCTAAAAGGTTAAAAAGAGAAAGAAAGAAAGTCCAGTCACTCAAGTATCACTTTCTTAAATCAAGAAGCTAAATAATAAATTAGCTAAGTAGACCAGTAAATGAACTTTTGTAACAGCCAGCCAATTTAGAAATGGCATATCCTAATTCAACTTTCTTATGAAGGACATGAATGTCCTATATGAATGAAAAGAATTCCTTTTTTTTAAAAATATAATTGCTCCTCCAAGTGAAATTATTTTTGTAGTGTGCACTCAGGACATCACTTCTATTTCTTTGGGTCAGATGTGGGGTATTTTTGTTTAGTTTTGTTTTGGAGCAAACTATCATAAATTGGCTTTTAGTCCTACGGGGAGAAACTTTTTCTTAGTCTGGATATAAGAAGAAAAGAATATATTGTGATTTTATTCCTGTTTCAATTGTAATTACTCCTTTGCTCAGTTTTACTTCTTAGAAAACAGTTTTAAAAAGATAAAAGTACAGAAAAGTTGAGGGAATGCTAACTAAACAACACATGTAGTATCCATCACGTAAGTTGAGAGCCTAAGGAAGTTTCCCATCTAAAAACATCCATCAAGAGGCACACTTACAACATCATAGTGGGCAAAGATTTTTTCAAAATCCCTCTTCCTTTCTTCAGTAGAACAAGCCTATGTAAGCAGAAAATATTATGTCAGTCCAGCAATACAGAAATTGTAGTTGTACAATCTTTCCAATGTTTGAAACATTGAGTTAGTAATCACTAAGATCCTTTGATTCCACTCTGAGCCTTTCTAGTCCCTAAATAAGTTAAAAGAAAGACAAACGAATGCCTTCCTTGCTCCTCTCCTCTCCTTCTTAAATCCATAAACAATGTCATAGACCCATCTATAGAAACGTTGCTACTTACATCCATTTTAAATTGGAGAAGGAAGTTTTCCTGAAGGGCCAGAATTCTAAGTGGGGAAATGAAATAAAAACAAAATCCACATGATAATCTATTATATCCATCCAAAACTTGTGTAGATATATTCATAGTAGTAGTATTCAATATACCCAAACATATATCAGCTGATGAATAGATAAAAATAGATGCAATGGAATATTATTCAGCAGTAAACAGAAATAAAATATAGATTAAAAATAAAATATAGATTAACATTATGCCAAGTGAAATGGCTAGACACAAAGACACCTATTGTATGGTTATATTTATATGAAAGGTCCAGAACGGGCAGAAGATTGGTAAAGTGAGAAATGAGATTTAAAGCTCTTATTTTCACCCAGATTGCCTTATTTTCAATGCATCTTTCTTCCTAAGAATGACTCTTCCACAGCTCTCTGACCTCTACATAAGAGGAACTCTGCTTCAATTGTTCCAGAGAACCTAGTGAACTAAGGCAAGATGATGAGATTGAGATTCCTTCTGCCCTAGGCTTGGAGGCAGGAACACTGTGCCCCTCTTGGCTTGTCTGACAGTGACCCTATATCATCAAAGTAGCCAAAATCAGAATGAAGGTCCTGGAGCAAGTAGCTAATGATGAAACACCAGCAGCTTCATGGCTCCTATGAGACATGTTAACAACATGTTCGTCAATGCCACAGTCATTACAGTGGAGAAATTCTTCCTGGTGTGTCCTCCTTCACAGATAGCTTTCAAAACCTGGTATAAATAACTATCAATAAAAGATATCTTGTAAAGAAGGTAAGATATGCTTAGCCACAAAGCTGCTATCTACTTGTGACCTAGTCATATTAACCCCTTGTCATTGTACTTATCTCAGTCCCTGGAATTCTTCTTGCCCAGCTGCTGACCTACAGCCTGTCACTATTATACTCTTATCATTGCCCAGCCTGATCCCAAGGTATCAACAATTACAACTGCTTCCCCGAAAGGGGTAAGGTTTGGGGCTGGGAAGGTGGCTCAGTGATAGAGTGCTTGCCTTGCATGCATGAGGCCCTGGGTTCAATTCCTCAGCACATAAGCAGAAAAAGCCGAAGTGGTGGTGTGGCTCAAGTGGTAGAGCACTAGCCTTGAGCTGAAGAGCTGAGGGACAGTGCCCAGGCCCAGAGTTCAGGTCCCATGACCAATCAAAAAATAAATAGAATAAAAATAAAATTTTAAAAAGGGGTAAGGTTTTATCCATATGGTTTAGATCCAGCAATTTCTACTCCATATCTGCTCAACAATTGCATGCTGTTTGGGGTAGTTAAACCTTGACAAGAAATGCCTCTAGGGTTTAAACCTGCTTTGTTTTCCACCCCTTCCCCCACTCCAAAGTCATGCTGGAGAGTTTAATCTCCAAAATTGATGTCAATGGTATTAACAATATGGAAAGTTAATCCCGCCATAGTTATAGCTGGCTTTTCAGGTCATGGAAATTTTGTCTCTTGTGCATTTTAGGAGGGAAAGAGTTCCAGTATCTTTACAAAGGAAACTGTTACCTACTAAAGATTCAACACCACTGCAGTTTATTTGTTAAGACACACCTAGTCTTTTGGACTCTACATAAGACTCCAAAAGGGATACATACATACATACACACATATATATATATAAAGATATAAATACATATATGTTATCATATATATATATATATATATATATAAAATATGTTGTCATCAAACCCTTTTTCTGAATCCATGGTATCATTTCCATGCTACTCACCTGGCCAAGTCATTCAGATCCAATCGACCATCTTTATTTTTGTCAAAAATCTTCATCTGAAATGCAGAAAGGAAAAATTGTTGCAGGAAATACGTGTGAATGCCAGCCACTGGTGGCTAATGCTTGTAACTCTAGCTACTCAGGCTGAGCACTAAGAATTACAGTTAGAAGCTAGCCCACGCTGGAAAGTCTGTGAGACTCTTATTTCCAATTAACACAAGAAAGCAGAAGAGCTATGGTTCCAATAGCAGGATACCAGCATTGAATAAAAAAGCTCAAGGGTAGCATCTGGGCCCTGAGCTCAAGTCCCAGTATTCACACACATGCACACACACACACACACACACACACACACACACACACACACACACACACACACAACTTATAACAGGAATTCTTTTTGAAAGTTATTAAAGCACTTTTTATTTTACTCTTCCAGCTGAGAAACCAATATGCCTGGGGTAAAATTAGTGTTTGTTATAGAATTATATCTCTACTTCTGTGTTAGGATGGGTCATAGTAATGAGTGCTCCTAAATTTCAGTGCTTTAACACACAGTTTATTTCTTGTTTCTATTACGGGATAATCAAGGATTCACCAGAGCTCTATTGTGTGTTAAGGGATTCAAAGTGGCAAAGTAGCTGCTTTCTGGCAATATTCCTTGTTTCCATGGCAGGAAAGGAAAGAAAAACTGTTACTGATTAAAATTTTATAATCCCAAAGCAAGTCCCTGGCCACACCTAACTTCAAAGGGGAAGAGCACTGCAGTCCTACAATTTGCTTGGAAAGAAAGCTGTAAATTTTTGGTGGATGGCTGTAATAACTGTCACACTTTCTGACAGGCAAAAGAGGATTTTATAAGCTTGAAATCTAAAGTTCTGCTTTAAGTAAAGATTTTCTAAAATTATTTTATGCCCATACAGCATATTAACAACCAAGTCAAGGGGGTTCATAGGATGTATAGTACTCTTTGTAGAGAAGAAATTTCTTATTTCCATAAAGGCTAAACAGTGAGACTGAATTTTCCTTTCATAGAGAGAGTCTGCATTGTACAAAGAGCCCACTTGCATTATTAGATCAAGCGAAGCTTTAGACAAGATAACATTAAAAGTTAAAATTTTCTGTGAATTTACAAAATTTCTACTGAAATATTGAAACTCTTGGCACAACTACTTAAAGATAGTGTAAATTTTTAAAGTCTGCACTATGGCATAACTTTCTGATACATTATGCATATACGGACATATCAAAATGAAAACCCTTTGTACAAATAATTGATGCTAATAAAAATGTAGGAAACAATTTTCCAGACAAGTCACAAATGATGAACATCGGATTGAGTTTATGCAAGACAGAATAAATACATTTATTTCCATATCTTAGTTGGACTGTAAATGAACTTGTATGCTGCAGAATATCTCTGAACGGATCTACATGAAGAAGGAAGAGGAAATGATCTAAAAGTACGTGTAACAAACTTTAGCGTCAAAAATGCTCAACTCTCCTTCCTTGTTCTCTAAAATCAGCTGAGTTTTAATATTCAAAGCGAATTAGAAAGCCCATTTGTCATAAACTTTGTAACCAAAAATATATTGTACAAAATCTATTAAAACATGGGTAAGCTGGGCACTGATGGCACATGCCTGTAATCCTAGCTGCTCAGGAGGCTGAGATCTGAGGATTGCGGTTCAAAGCCAGCCAAGGCAGGAACATCCATGAGACTCTTATCTCCAATTAACCACCAGAAAACCAGAAGTGGTGCTGTGGCTCAAGTGGTAGAATGCTAGCCTTGAGCTGAAGAGCTCAGGGACAGCGCCCCGCCTGAGTTCAAGCTCTATGACTCACAAAAAAAAGGTAATATTTTTATACATTTGAATGTATTATACATCCAGTAATGTCCCCTATATGTTCAACCATGTCCCTTGCACCTAAACATCATGTCAAACACATATTTGATAACATTTTGCTACAGGATGAGCAATAAGGTAATTTCTGTAATACCATCATTATAAGATGTCTTAACAAAATCTAGATTATCTTGAACTTGAAGCAAGTAGTAACTCATTTTGAAAGTCCAACTTCATTCATTGCTATGTAAACTTACTCAAAGGAAAAATCATCTTTTTTTTTTTTTTTTGATGTTGTGAGGCTTGAGCTCTGGGCCTGAGCACTGTCTCTGAGCTCTTCAGCTCAAGGCTAATGCTCTACCACTGGAGCTACAGAGCCACTTCTAGTTTTCTGGTGGTTTATTGAAGATAAGAGTCTCACAAACTTTCCTGCTTGGGCTGTTTTGAACCATGATCCTCAGATCTCGTCCTCTTTAATAGCTAGGATTACAGGCATGAGCCACCAGCACCCGGCAGCTAGGGTAGCAATTTTACATAAGGTGCTATAAGGGCTCTAGAAATAGAGTCTCATGTCTTAATAACTCTGTAAAATTCTGGGTGTATTGGGGAATGAAAGCTCTTCCTTCTCAGGCAAGAGACATCTTGGGGAAGGAGAATTGTGCAGCATTCTCTTTAGAATGAAAAATATATTTCCTTGTATTTTTTAATATCTTTATGGACTCAATAATGATTGTGAAATGCAAATTTATGTTAAGTCATTACTAGGTTGATAGTGACTTCTCTTCAGTTTGGCAATTCCTCTAACTATACACCCAAATTATAACTATTGTCTTGTGGTAGAACAGGCAACAACTGATAACTGATCATTTGAGTGGAATGGATGACCAATGTGAAAAATACATAAATATTGATCACAAAAAGTGAAACTTACAGGTCTCTACCTTGTCTAGTCTCTCTATAAGTTAGCAGCTTACTTTTTTCACCTAACAATATATGAACAATATGAACCATGAATCTTAAATTTTTGATCTCTAAAACTGTGAAGTAAATAAATCTCTTTTCTTTATATTATCCAGCCTTGAGTATTTGTTAACAACAAAGTAATACAGTAGCCAATAAGATTTCCTAACTAGATTTGGAGTGATAAGAGAAAGCATGAGAAAGAAAAAGAGAAAGAGTATGATTTCAAAAGTTTTGCCTTGAATAACTTGAAAACATCAAGTTCACATTAACTGAAAAAAGATCACTAGTGGAACAGGTTTGTGAGGGAAGGTCAGCATTTCAAGTTTGGCATTCTAAGCTGGAGAGAGCTATTAGATGTCAAAGTGGAGAGTCATACCCAAGGATAGCCAAGACAATCAGAGGAATAGTTTGAAGCAGAGATATAAATTAGAGGCCATCAGTCTTGAGCTATTGTGATGGAGACACAGAAAGATACCTTTATCTTGAGACTGAGCCCAGACATGCCTCAGACTTGCCTGGATCAGTGAAATGACTGCCTAGAACCAGGAAAAGAAGCAAACTGCAAGTCAGCTTTTTGAGTCCAGAGATGAAGAAGGAGGGTCAAGACCATGCAGAGAACAGAAGTCGGCCTAACTTCATACAATTCTCTTTTCCTGTCAAGGTAGAAGATTTTGTTATTTTGCAAGTTAGAATATGGAACTCAAACTATTGGTGATCTTCACTCATCTCCCAGGAACATTAGGTTACATTGTACCAAGCCAAATATTGTCTAGTAATATGTCCTCTATGCAGACAGCAGATCATTCCCCCTGCCTACTGTGACTATACCTCTACAACACAAGAGGATTTCATAATAGGCTACTTCCTTTTCTAAAGCATCAGTTAGGAATCTGGAGAAGACGAGATGTGCAGGCCTTAGCTCCAGCTCACTTAGTCATGCTTTGAACTCTATTCAAATGTACCAGTCCTTATTCGGTTCGATTTGAATTTGTGTAGCAGGTTACATCACTTAAGCATAGCATTTGATGTTGAACCTCAGAACTGAACCTTTAATATAGTATTGCCATGACTGGTTCATTTCTCAATGAAAATCTATTAAAGCAGCAATAATGTGATTTCACTTTTGGTGAGTTACTTAGAACTTAGGATGTGATGTACAAGACACTATGTTGAAAAGGAACTTTACAACGTGGGGGCAGGAGGGAGGAGTTGGGGAGGTGGGGAAGGAAGGGATGGTAGGAGGAAAACAAAGGAGGAGGTGACAATGCTCAATAGGAAATATACTCAATACCTTACTCATGTAACTCCTCTGTACAGTATTTCTACAATTTAAAAAACATACAAAAGAAAGAAAAGAAAAAAAGGAACAGGATGTGGAAGTCATTTTTTGTAAAGGTTAGGTTTCTAAAATTAATACCTTTATAACTCAAGAACTGAGTCTATTTAAAAATATAAGAATTCCTAAAAAAGATCAATATTCCAGGTCCAAAATCTGTTTATTTACAAAATATAGTCATCGCTGTTAAACTAGGAGAAAAAAAATGAAAATGTGTGACCAAAAAGCTCATTAGACTTGGTTCATCTTCTGCTCACACTCAGTTCTTTGTCTGAAAACCCACCAAATTATCCCACTCTTAGCTAACAGCTCAAAATGTCAAGAGCTAATAATGGAGCTTGATCAAGCACCAGCCCATCTGCATAGGACAAGTTAGAAAAAAAAGTGTGCTTAACTTTTAGCACACACACATAGAAGAGCTCCAAGGACTTAGTAAGGTGACATAGAGAATAACAGGACTTTTATGGCCAATGGCCAATTCTCAGTATCTCCAAGTTGAATCATACCACTTGGGATCTTTCTGCTGAGCCTTTCTCTGTGGTGAAGTGAGAGCTTCACCCTAGTCACAGCTGTAAAGCATAGAGCTCAGCACCACCAAGATAATCTGCTTTAAGTCCTTCTTGTCCTTCTTGAGAAAGTTCATCTATATAATGTCATGAAATGATATCAAACTGACAAACACTCCAGGAGGGAGCAGAAGCCACAAAGAAGTACAAGGTTACAAGGAATACAGATAGGTAATCCCAAAAAGAAATATTTATTTTGGCATGGCTTAAACATAGCTGGCTCTTAAGTAACAACTGGACATTGAGTTAATTTGCATTAAGTAGCTTACTGTGTATATCAGGTTTCGTGTGAGTGCTTGGGACATAAAGATGCCATCTTGCTGGGCACCAGTGGCTCACACCTATAATCCTAGCTACTTAGGAGGCTGAGATCTGAGAATCGCCATTTAAAGCAAGCCTGGGCAAGAAAATCTGTGAGACACTTATATCCAATTAACTATCAAAAAAAAAAAAAAAAAAGCCAGAAGTGAAGCTGTGGCTCACACTTAAGTATGCTAACCTTGAACAACAACAACATAACAAAAACAAAACTCATGGACAGCGTCCAGGCCCTAAGTTCAAGCCCCAGGACTGGCAAAATGCCATTTTATCCTTGAGGAGTGTGTAACTAATTGGGGGGGGGGTAATAGTACCCACAAACACACCTGTTCCATATTTAAAATATTCCATATTTAAAATATATTTGGCTCTCACCCAATCTAATAGTCTGATCTGTCACCCTCTATCACCCGGAGGGCATCAATGGCCTCGTATGAATCTTCTTAATACCATCTTGTCCAACTCAAGCTCTTTTCAACACAGTAGCCTTTGCTTCAAACCCTCTAGTAGCCTTCCATCCAACTCAGAATAAAGCTAAGTCCTTACAGTGGCTAAAAATCCCATCATGCTCTTGTTGCAATTTAGTCACCTTTTCACTTAGTATGCTCAACTACACTGGTTCTCCTTGTTTAAAAAAAAATCCCAGGCATGGTCTTCCCTGAGGGCCTGTGCCTGCTATACCTCAGTCCTTTACATCCCACCTTCCCAAGAGGCTATCCTGATGCGCCCTCCAGTCCCCCACTATAGCTGACCTGCTGGCATATTCATCCCCTGCCTGTCCCTACTTTTCTACTTCACTCATTACTCTCTGTCATGCAACCCAATTTATTATTCATGTTGTTCATTGTCGGTCTCTCTTTTGCACATTTTGTCTCACTATTGAATCCTTAGTGACTGGAATAGTGCCTGGGGTATAATAAGTATCTGAGGAGTTTTTGTGCAGTGACTGAAATGATGAGTGACTATGATGTTAACATGGTACCATGCAAAGTACACAGAGCAGGGATTCACTTGTAGAAGGCCATGGAGTTTTTTTAAAGAAAGATAATACCTAAGTGAATCTCCAAGAATGAGCCTGACCAATGAGCAAGAAGAGATATAGAAACAAAAATGGCTAAGCTGTATCAAGAAGTCAGAAAGCAGTGATTTCAAATTGTGAGCTCAAAGTGAGGAAGAATCCTTCAGAGTCAAAATGTTGTATGCAATGAGCAAGAAGAGATATAGAAACAAAAATGGCTAAGCTGTATCAAGAAGTCAGAAAGCAGTGATTTCAAATTGTGAGCTCAAAGTGAGGAAGAATCCTTCAGAGTCAAAATGTTGTATGTTCAAGAAATACTAGGGCTGGGAAGGTGGCTCAGTGGTAGAGTGCTTGCCTTGCGTGCCTGAGGCCCTGAGTTCGATTCCTCAGCACCACATAAGCAAAAAGAAAAAAGCTGAAAGTGGCACTGTGGCTCAAGTGGTAGAGTGCTAGCCTTGAGCTGAAGAGCTGAGGGACAGCGCCCATGCCCAGAGTTCAGGCCCCACAACCGGACCCCCCCCAAAAAAAAAGAAAGAAAGAAAAAAAAGAAATACTGGAAACATTCTGGAGATCCAAAATGCAGATATATTCATTGTGCATGTTTTATAAATTAATAAAACTCAGGTAATAATTTTCAGTACAAACATTTGATTAAATTGATGTTTAAAAACATGCTCCAATAGAAAAGAAATCTCCTTATTTGTCTGGCCTCCTAGTAGTTTAGTGTCAAATTTCTTTTTGATATCATTTCTTCGGTGACAGGGTTCCATTGGAGTTAGAACAAAGGGAACCTAGACACTGAGCTGAGAAAGTGCTTCTTGTTTCAGGGGGATTTTCCACCTCACATTGAATTGCTGAGTACATGTTTACTCTGAATTCTGAACATGATTTTCCATTCTAATAAAACAAATCATCATAGTAAGAAGCCAAGCTCCTTCCCTAATTGAGATCCTATCTTGGGACTTGTTTCTCTCCCTGTCCAAGCCATTAACAAGACATCATGGTAAGAGCACTTTTTTTTTTTCTCAAAGCTGACACAAAGTATGTCTCACTCAAGGCAGCATTCTGGCAGGTCAGAGTCCAAGTAAACCAAGAGGACTTATCTTCTAGTCTAACAAGTGCCTTTGGTTGAGTAACAGTTATTATCAGGTATGCAGTCTCCAAAACTTTCAGTATCTGGAAACCTAATTAAAGGCCTGTTCATCATCCAGAGGCCCATATTTTAAAAGAGATCCACACACTCTTCTAAGTACTATTTGTCCTTATCTATAAGCCATAAGGCTCAGTAAGGGCTGTCTGTTCAAAAAAAAATATTGGTGGCCAGGCACTAGTGGTTCAGGCATATGATCCTAGCTTCTCAGGACACTAAGATCTAAGGATCAAGATCCAAAGCTAGTCTGGGCAGACAAGTCTGAGAGACTTACTTCCAATTAACCATCAAATAGCCAGAAGTGAAGATGTGGCTCAAGTGGTAGGATATCAGCCTTGGTGGAAAAATTCAAATAAGAACATGAAGACTTAAGTTGAAATCCTAGAACCCATCCCCACCAAAGACACACACACACACACACACACACACACACACACACACACACACACACACACACACCTCTTTATATAATAAATATGACAATGCTATGAGCCTTCTTAGCAAACAACTTCCTCACTAGTTTGGAAATCTGAAGATATGGTGAAAATGGAGATAGGAAGGAGATAGAAGAGAGCAGGAGGGGATCCAAAAGCAATTAAGTGTGAACTGTAGACTAGAACTGGGAGAGATGCATCAAATCCAGAATGAGGATAAGTTCATCAAAGGCAAATTCTTCTTTACCATTTTCTAAGGAGCTTGACATTGAAGTAGTGTTTCACTCAGGAAAAGGCTAAGTCCTAAGAGGGTATGATATAAGGACAACAAGGACCACAATCACTACCAGAAGAGTTAAGGAGTACTGAGTAGTCATAGTCTACACAGAATGCACAGTGGCTCATAAACATCAACTCATTTCGCCCTCCTAGTATTTAACCATGATTAACCCCCACTTTACAGAAGAAATAAGCAATGTTGAGACTTAATACTCATCCTAAGTTATAGCTACTAAGTGGCAGAAGAAAGACATACATCCTCTTCCCTCTCCCTTCTTTCTCTGTCCTCCCACTGTTCCAAATCAACACACTGAGTGAGTGCAATAATCTATTCTGGTGAGAGGCAGCTGTTTGATTCTGATGGCTGAGGCCATGTTTACTTGTTTCAATATTGACTTTAACACTGAGTTCATTGGTCTGGTGCAACACTGAGTTTATTGGTGTGGTGCTTAGAAACCAAAGGTTAAATGATCTTTCCTGGCTCCCTTAAGACAGGTGATCAGCCTCCTCCCTTAAACACCTGCAATTTATTGGTGAGAGAGGTTAAAACAGTTCAATTTTAGGCCATGTTCTCCAGAGTTGAGATGTTCTTTAAGCATCTGTCACCTGCACAGCGGCAGGAAAGCTGCCCTGCTGAAACAAGACTCCATTACCCACCATGGTGCCCGTGTATTCTTCCAGTTTAGCTTCAGAAACAGCCTTGCTGTGATGGAGGAAGAGGTCTCGGAGGAAGTTCTGTAACACCAAGGCATTTTATGTAGTAAACAAATAAGTTAGAAAGGGGTCCAGAGGCCTTTGTCCTGGGGAATATAGTTTCAACAAGCAAGACATAAAAACTATTTACAGGATGCCTTTGCAATCCAGAGAATAGTTCTATACATGAAAAACAATCACAAATGCTCAGTTTTACCTCTTTCCCAAAGACAGACACATGACTTGCACTTTCTAAATCTTCTAAACATAAATACATTTTTTTCTATTAAAAAAAGATTTATAGATTCAAATCTATGTTTCTTGGATCCACAGAAACCAAATTCATCGTGCACATCAATCCACCCACCCTTCACCCAGTGGCAGTGCCCAGGAACACTTACACGCAACTCCACAGCTGATATGAAGCCACTGCTGTCCGCATCATACTTGCGCCAAATCTGAAATACACAAGTCACCAATGCAATTGTCCTCAGAGACTCTGGGATTGACTACGGTGTTTTTGTTTTTGTTTTTAATGATTCTCCACCTGAAAATAAGTACTTGGCTAGATGCAAATTGACTTGTAATGAGGAGCTACAGTCTTATTTTGGTGACAGCAGATTTGGACAGAATTCATCAGAAATGTACTGCAGTGTATACTCAGAGCCATGAAAGAATTCATTTATGTTATTTTCTATTTATGTTATTTTCTACTTCAGCTATAATACTGCAATGTTTAATGAAAATTATTCAAAAGAAACTTTTGTCCACATAAAATAGATGTTGTGGAAGTGGAATTTATTACCTTGAAAGATAAAGACTTAACAAAAACTAACTCTGAATAATGAATTTTAGAGGCTTCTGGTTGAGTTTTTACAAAATTAATTTCCTATACAATTATTTCACAGTACACATACCTTCTGACAGAGTATTGATAACCATTTCAGGGCTTGTTTACTTGCACTGTGTATATTTGTACATGCTCTTGAAATTATCACTCAATTATAAAAAAATACTTGTTCTATTTTGCATTTCTTGGGTTACTTGAAAATATTATGGCCCATTCAAATCTCACCTGTGCTTGCTTGATTGTACCAGAAGGTAAACATAATAGTACAAAAGGATGCTAAGCTACATGTCCTAAGTGGGGATGTGGAGATTGCTTCAGGAATGGGGCCCTGGACATAGTGGCTGTCTTGAGTCTCTTGCTGCGGCCTTGGACAAACTCAGAACTTCCTTTCCTGGTATTTCCTACAGAGCAATCACATTTAGAAGCTGAGAGGGATTTACTGAAACAAAGAGGCCAGAGGAGTCATCAATACTGCCTTTAGCTTTCACTCAAGTCAGAATGTCCACTGACTAGACCAGCACTCTAACAAATTATGGCTTGACTGGACTTGCATTCAAAATTAGAGTGAACTGATAACATTTGATGAAAAGCAGTGTCACATAGAGTCTGGATTTTTAGACAGCACTCTCAAAAGACAACAGTTCACTGAGGCTCCACAGGATCACTGACTTTAGGTAGTATGCATGCTCCCCAGGCTGCACAGCCCCCTCACAACACCCTTTCTATCCTCCCATTACATTCTTCAGCCCACCTTCCTGGCCCTTATCTAAGCCTTCCATTAGCCTAGATTAAAGGAGCCCATCAGTTCAGGAGCATCTCAGGCCAGGAATGAGAGAACACACTGGAGATGGGCACCAAAGGCCTGGCAGACTAAGGGCTTGGTCCTATCCTCTCTGCATGTCTTCTATATAGGAACTGTGCAGGGAATAGGAGGGAGCCACAACCCTCTTTCTCAAAGGAAGTTATAAGCAAACACTCACCTGCATGAACTCGACACTGCTGTCCAAGGGGGTTTCCAGGCGAAAGAGCAGTAGAAAGTTTTCATCCTCAGATAAAAACATACTAGAAAGCTAAAGGAACAAAATAACAGTCATGGATACGGGTCAGTGTTCATTTAAGGAGTGCTCCCTGGAAAAAATGCATGATAGTACATATTGTAAAACAAGCTTATCTCAAGATTGAAAACTCAGCTTGCAGTTCTGTACCCTTGATCCTCATTCATTGATTTATTAGCTCTTTCAAAAAGTATCATACTCCTGTTAGATACAAAATACTGTGAATAGCTGCCTTCCATGAGTTTGCAATACACAATAATAATAATATCTTATATATTATTATGTGTAATTATATATTGTAATTATATGTTTATATTATATTCATATAATTACATAATCATGCATATGTACTTTATAATTAAATTGTATAATATAATTATATAATGTCATATACAATGTTTAATATATAATATAGAGTTAATATATAATATATATTATACATATAATATATAGTACATATACTAAATATAATATACTATACATAGTATATATTAGCATATTATATATAATATATATTACATATTATATGTAATTACTAGTATATTCAGCACTTAATATGTTCAGGTACTATTCTAAGAACTTCTAGTATTGAATTAACTTTATAATAATCAAAAACAAAAATGTCAAACAATGATCATATGGGCCAGGCATTGCTGTAAGATTCATTGATAAACACTAACTCATTTAACCCTAATGACCAACTGCAAGTTACACACATGCCATATAGGTATTTTCAGATTCTGGGCTACACAAAGTCAAAGGATGTATCAAAGTTATATTGGTCAAAAATGGTAGAATGCAAGCACACTTTTTCTGACTAGACTTTGCTGGTGAGATGTCATATATATATATATATATATATATATATATATATATATATACACACACATATATATGTATATATATATATATATATTATATATATAAAATACTTCAGTGTCCTATGTAAAAGCAGCAGTGATTGTGGCCTGTGTGGATTCTTGAGTGTTGGCTGTGACTTAATACTCCTCCATTGTTGGTGTCTATTGGATACTACAACATTCAAGCATGGTAAGTTCACCCAGTCAGCATGACTGATTTCCTTCTCTCACTCCCATGACATAGCAGTATCTTCTTCCCCTAATGATTATAACATGTTGCAGCACACTGACCAGTTTTGTCAGTTCTTTAAGTGTGCATTGTCTCCTTGGTTGTCCCTGTAAGCAGTCATTGTAGTGCAAGCCCAGGGAAGGTGCCCTTGTGGGGTTTTAGTGTGCTTACTCACACTCTCACTCACATCCCCTAGTTCGATGCACATCAGCTCAATGAATTCCACTCCTGTGTAACATAAGCCAATAGACGAGACGACACATTCTGCTAGCCCTCTACTAGATGCCTACCACGTGGCAGCCATCACCATGGTGATTATCGTTTATCATCTTATTACATTCCCAACACAAGTTCTCTGGGATTGATAGCTATCAGTGTTCCCCTTTTCCTTGAGTTAGGCTTTAGAGTAGAATTAAATTCCTTCTTTATTACTCACCAATTATTTAATCTTGGGCAATTTGACATTTCATGCTTTTGTTCTTCATTTGTAAACTAGTAAAATAGACAGCTAATACTTATATAAAGACTAAAAGGAGAATGAGTCAATAGTAACAGACTGTTTAGCAGAATAGCTGCTGTGCATGACAGTGTTACACATTCTTTACTGCTGCGCTGGGGAAACTGAAGCTCAGAGGACTTTTCCTGGGGTCTTACATTCCACTATATTGACTTTGTGTTTTTCCCATCAACCCATACATGGTCACCTCTCTTCAGGGTTAAATGCTGTTTTTCACATAAGGATGGTATAGACTCTATTTACCCTCCCTTGTCAAAGAATTGCCTAACAACGCACTTCTCAGTATGTGTGCTGTTGTTAACCAGTATGTAACTGTAGGTAGAAAATATTCCACTGTAGTAACCTGTTTTGTAATTAAAGGAGACATATTCAGATAAGAAGTAGATTGTCATGTAGGGACAAAAGGTGAACAAATGCAGCAATGGTACTTGCTGGACACTACGTTGGGGAAATAAAAATGAAGTAGATTGTTGGGGCTGACTGAGTATAGTGACACAGGCCTGTAATCCCAGCTACTCAGGAAGCAGAGATAGAGAGGATCATGATTTAAAGGCAACATATGCAAAAAATTAATGAGATCCCATCTCAACAAACAAGCCAGGCACAGTGGTCCATGCCTATAATCCTAGCTATGTGGAAGACATAGGTAGAACGATTGTGGTCTGAGGTCAGCCCAGGCAGAAAGCAGGAAACCTAAAACAGTAACTAAAGCAAAAAGTGCTGGAGGGATGGTTCAAGTGATGCTGTGTTTTTCTAGTAAGTGAAAGGCCCTGAGTCAAACCCTATTACTGCCACATACACAAATAATAGAATATCCAAGGTACTGCATGATTAAGGCAGTTACTTGATTTGGTAGGCAGTCAATGAAAGTGACTTCAAAGGAAGCAAATAAAATACTTTCTGGTAGGAGGATTTTTTTCTTAGTTAGAGTGCTGGAGATTGAACCCAGGTCCTCATACATGCTAAACAAATCCTCTACCACGTAAGCTATATAACCCATTATTTTAGGGTAATTTTTCCAATTTCTACCGAGAGCTAGTACTGAAGTATAAATTTTTTAAATCAGTATGTTTTTCTTATCCCAAGGATAATTTTTATAAGACACTGTGCCAAGAGACAATGTTAGATCAGATAACTGAAAGGCCTTTGCCATCTCAATTCCCCATTGACCTAAATAAAAATCAGGAAAGAATTGCATACTCTTTGTTACTAAGCAGGTGAAAAGAAGCTAGATAATTATTTTTAAAAATTATGCCAACTGCATTGCAGGAAGTTCGTCTTTCCCAGTTGAATGCAGATTCATTCATTCTTTTAGTGGAAATCACAGTCCAAAAAGATAATATCCAAGAAGAAGCAGTCAAGAAAGCTATTGCCGAGAAAAATACAACCATGAGCAGTACCTGCTTCATCTGTACGCGGCCATCTTTAGAGATATTATGGGCTGTCGTAAGTTGCTGTTTCACTTTGTGCATATTTTCTTCCATGAGTGCATCCTGCAATAGGCCACAAATCACCACATTTAGCCAATGAAATCCCCAAAACATAGTTAGGATAATAAGTATTCACCTGGCTTACTCATTACATTATTCTAACCAGGAAAATTGAGTGATCCTACTATTTTGTAGGAGAGAGCAAGGGATTGATATTTCTTGAACAACCAACCATCAAAATCTTGACTATGTGAAATGCGTAAAATTACTGAGATAGGTATAGAAAGAAGCTGAGAACCTGGAGCGCTAGATTAATTTGAATATAGTTGTGTGTTTGGTTTCTAGAAAGGACTGAGTTGTCAGTAATATATAGATGCTCTTCCTAAGGACTTAAAGGGTTTAAATCCTTAACTGAAAATTCTCTGCCTTTTTGCAGGAAATGGGGTAGAAGGTTCTGGGGCTTGAACTCAGGGCCTGGGTTCTCACTTGAAGGGGTTTTTATCCTCAAGGCTAGTGCTCTACCATTTGAGCCACACACCCGCTTCTGGCTTTTTTGATGTTTAATTGGAGATAAAAGTCTCATGGGCTTTCCTGCCATGGTTGGCTTTGAACTCAATCCTCAGGTCTCAGCCTCCTAAGTAGCTAGGAAACTAGGCATGAGGCACTGGTACCTGAGTCTCTTTGAATATTTTTTATATTTGAGCTACATACATTCAAATTCTCTATTACTGGCTAAAAAAATTTTCAGGTTTTATTGTTCTTATTTTTCTCTTTAGTCCTGATTGAATGGCCTGTCAGTTATACTTGTTTGTCCTTAAGCAGTTAGCTCTTCATTTGATCTTTTTCATATATGTTTTCCATGGGTTAGAAGATCTAGTAGAAGAGCAAGGCAAACTCTCTGCCTTCTAGATCTTCAGGTATGAGGAATACTCTGATTCATGATATCTACTACTACACTCTGAATCAAACTATACACTTCTTTCAGAACAGTCTTGGTAAATTGAAGGAAAAGAGTGAAGGAAAAAAGAATCAGGGAATATTAGACACCTTCTTCTTTTTTTGCCAATCCTGGGGCTTGAACTCAGAGCCTGGACTCTGTCCCTGAGCCTCTCTGTGCTCTACCACTTGGGCCACAACAACACTTCTAGATTTTTCTGTTTATATCGTACTGAAGAATCAAACCCAGGGCTTCATGATGCTAGGCAAGCACTCTACCACTAAGCCACATTCCCGGCCCATAGATACTCTTCTCTAAGACTGATGGGAAAATAGGTCAAAGGAGTGACTTAACATGCAGCTGGATATTGGCAGAACATGACAGAAACCAGAACTTTGGAAAGTACAGTGTATACTTATCACCCCACCTTGCTGTTACCTTATGGGACAGCACCTAGCAGAGGAAATGAAAAATGGTTCAAAACAGATCCAATGAGAACTTGGTGATTTGCTTTGGTATATTTTTTTCAAGATAGATTTTGGCAGTTAGTTAAATAATAGGACTGTCTAAATATCATGTAGACTCACAAATTTGAAATCCTCTTGGAAATGCAAAGAGCACTATTGGCCAGTGGAACAACTTTATGCTAAGGGAGATCCAGAGCATTATTATAACATCGTTATAAGATATTGGCCCTTGACATTGGAATCCTAAATCACTAGTGGCAGTAGATGAATAGACAGCCAATATTTGATGGTGGGTTTCATCAGTGAATAGAAAAGATACTCTGAGCTGAGATAATTGAAGAAATTGGATCCCTTATTATCATCTTAATTTTCTAGATTTCCAAAGACTGATGTGAATGCCACAAGAATGGGAAGCCACCAACTTTCATGTCAACCAAATAGCTAATCATATGCATTTGTGGGGGGGGGGGTATGGTTGTGGAGCTTGAAGTCTGGATCTGGGCGCTGTCCCTCAGCTCTTCAGCTCAAGGCTAGCACTCTACCACTTGAGCCACAGCACCACTTCTGGCTTTTTTTTTTCTGCTTATGTGGTGCTGAGGAATCAAACCCAGGGTCTCATGCATTCAAGGCAAGCGTTCTACCACTGAGCCACCTTCCCAGCCCTCATATACATATTTTTGTCATCAAATACAAAAATGAAATTGTGTTTCCTTTTGTCTTGTTGTTTTTGCAGGACAAGATAAAAACATGTTTTTGTTGTTTTTTTTCAGAAATGGATAAAGTGCAGAGAGATGAATAAATGAATGTCTCACATATCCCAAACTGAATACTAGACAGTGAGAGCTACTTTCATTTATTATAAATGAATAATAAACAGCTAAAAAGTTTGTTTATTATTCATTTATTATCAATATAAATTGCAGAGAAGGGTAAGATTGTAAAACAGTTTAAAGTTTTGTTAATAAGAACTAATGATAAAATGGTTGGTTCTTTAGATAGCAATTTTAAATTCTATTAAACATGCTAGCCCAAACCACTAGCATTTGTGACTGAGACAATGTATTAATCAAATGGATTTGGGTATCCTATCTGTACCAAGACCATCTGCTAGACTGTTGGCTTTGGTTTCGTATTTAGAATGATTAAAATAAGTGATTAAAATAAGAGGACTTGGACAGATTGACTCTGTAAATACACCACACAAATGTATTCATTTAATAATCATAAACAGAATAATCAAAGGGCTAGTTAAGAAAATTAATATCGGAAGTGGTGCTGTAGCTCAAGTGATAGAGAGCTCACCTTGACCTGAAGAACGCAGGGACAGAGCCCAAGCTCTCCTGAGGAAATGGGTGGCCCAAAACATGATTGTTCCCATTTTATGGTCATAAAAACTGAGACTTAGGGAATTTAAGTAGCTTGTTGGTATCATTTAGCTATAAGATCAGAGCTGGTACAGCCAAAGCGGATTTCTATCTCCACTCACTGTGAGGCCTTTCTGAAGTGGGTGCAAAAAGTTACATTTTTTAATCTTTATAGAAGAAAAAAGAATTTTGAGATCCCAAGATATCCTCCAACCAGATTCCCTCATACCTATCTAGTCTCCTAACCACAGATTGTGTGTGTGTGTGTGTGTGTGTGTGTGTGTGTGTGTGTGTGTGTGTGTATGTGTTTGGTAGTGTAAAGGATATTTTTAGGAGTCAGCTGGATCCAGCGCTATCTAGAAACCTGGAAGGCAATTTTGTGGGTGAGTGTGTCTGTGAAGGGGTCTTCAATGGAGCAATCAGCCCTGTGTGAATGGGCATTATCTGAATGGCTGGGGAAGGCAAATCAGTCTCCCCTCTTACTCCCTGAAAGCTAGGACATGTTCACCTCCTGTCTTGACCTCAGATGTCCAGGCTATTCTAGTACTGAGATTTCAGGTCTAACAACAGCCACCCCCTCCCTAGGTTCTCAGGCTTTGCCCTTAAACAGAGAACTACGCCTTCACCTTCCCTGATTCTGAGGCCTTCAGACTTGGACTGCACCATACTCTTAGAAATCCCAAGATCTCCAGTCTGCAGACAACCTATAATAGGACTTCTTAGTCATCATAATAGCGTGAGGCATTTTTCTTATTAGAAAACAATATATAATATACCATTATAGAATATATAATGTTGCTTCTGTCTTTCTTCCAAAGAAAGTTCATTAACATAGGCTATGTTGGTTGAAAATTCATTTTTATAACAAACAGAGATGGAGCCACAGTCACAGAAACAGATTCTATATGCCACCTTTAATTTGAGGGCATAGAGCCTTACATTTTGACCTTTTAGACCTCTAACTCTAGAGCCCAAGGATCCCTTGTCCCTAATGGAAAAAAGTCAGAGTTCTTTTGGTTGTTATTCCCCATCAATCCTTATTGAGATTTCAGGCCCCAGCAGGATACTTATGAGCCCCAAAGCAATGAAAGGGGCCGAAGGATGTGATATAACCTGCACCTGAGAGAGATAGTCACATAGAAACTGATGCTCTGGAATGGACTGGCTTTTTAAAAGAACAGCAGGAAGAGTCACATATAGCAGCAATAGTAGCAGTTGATTGTCTCATTAAGCCAATCCCTTCAGAAGCTGTGAGGAGTGGGTAATTACATGTAGCCTGGTTGCTCTCTGAGATTGACAAGCAGGCAGCTTGCTGTTAGAAAACTCAGAATCTTTCTGAGGTCTCTGTGACCCACTAATCAACAGAACAAATCAGGGCTATTCAGGTCTCTTGAAGTACCACTTGACAGAGCAAAAAGCTACAATCTCTACTGAACTTGATTAGGGCCTACTTGTTGTTCATCAAAGAAGAGCCCAGAATTAGACTATTTGTCCAGGAAGTATTGAGTGACCAGCTAAGGTCCTTATTGCCCTATTCCCACTGTATGGTCTCAGCGTTATGAAAGAAAATCAATGGTAAATTATTCCATTACTGGTTAACAATTTAAGCAACTTGTCAGAACTTTCTCCCTAGCCAAGTGCTAAGGAGAAAGGTACCTAGGGTAACTGCCATGCCTCAGTGGGACTCATTTGATTATATTAGAAACCCTTGCCCAAGGCAGTCACCGTTCCTCTGGGGATAGGAGATGAAATCTGACTTAGGGTGTTTGTAAAATAAAAATACATTGAAATCCTAGGGGCTGCATTTTAACAAATATTGATAATTTTGGCATATATTAATTGTTCAAAAAAAGAGGTTGCACTTACAAAGTTTGATTTGGTCTGGGCACTGGCGGCACATGCCTTAATCCTAGCTACTCAGGAGTTTGAGATTTGATGATCATGGTTCAAAGCCAGTTAATTCTCCAATGAACCACCAAAAAAGCCATAAGTGGAGCTGTGGCTCAAATGGTAGCATACAAGCCTTGAGCATAAAAGCTCAGGGATAGTGCACAGGCCCTGAGTTCAAGCTGCACCAAAAATGTATGTTTAAAAAAATTTTCCCTGGTCTGAAAGAGGCAAGAATACATAGGGGAAATATGCATGGGAAAGAGAAGCCAGAAATTTAGAGACAAGGATGGTATGATGGATAGCTTGATTAAAGGGACATAGGCACTATTTTTCTTTGCTTTAAGACTCATACTTCAATAAGCTGCAAACATTAGCTTAAGGTGAATGTATGGGGGGGGGCAACAATTCTCTCCCTCTGACATTTGCCCATTTGCCCAAATAGTTAAAGAACTTTGGGCACTGAGCATATCATCCTGGTGAAGGGGGAGGGGAAAACATTTGTGAAATGACTTCTCTTGCAACAAAAAAAAAATGCTTGCAAAGGAAAATACTTATCTCAAGGATGTACATGTGTTTTGAAGGGAGCACTTGTCAAAACCCATCAATTGTTCTAAAGGATGCTCAAGCAACTTTATTGTAATGACCTACATGTAATCAGCAGACCAACCTTGAAACTTCTGGACCCAATTGACAAAAGAGTGGACTAGCAAGAATGACTAAATATACCAGGTAACAGAATAAAGAGAAGCACTTATCCCAAGTTGAGTTTTGGCCAAACTCTTAATCTACTTTTTTTTAAACAATAAATACCCCTGAGCTTAGCACTTATTGCACCTGTTTTCCAATGTGCCAAAGGCGTGTCTGGATTATATATTGTCTGTCTACTTTTCCTTGGCTTTCATTCCTACTTTATTGTCTCTACCTTAATGTGTCCTTCAATTATATCTGTAACAGCATCATGAAATGTAATACTCGAGAGCCAGAGGGAGGCCACCACCATCAGGACATCACACAAAATCAGAGACACATACACAAAACGGAGGCAGAACAAGAGAGGCAGAAACATATAGAAAGAGTCAATAGGCCTGTGTGCCTGGTGAAGACAGATGGCAGCCTCTTGTTTTCTGAGCTGGCCTCTCTCAGCCCCAAACCCCCTCCCCAAGCAGTGTCCATGATGGAGACCTTCCTAGCCCTCTCACTGGCTTTTGATATGAGAATGTGATGCACTCCAAAATATCCTTCCAGGCAAATGATTGAAAGTCTGAGGATAAACCATTACAATTCACTTCAAAACAACTGCCCAGATTATGCATGACTGAATGAAGTTGGTTTTTTTCCCATACCAAGGCTGAATGCCTGAATGCCTCTATGAGTTTTTCCTCTTCTTTGCTACAGGAATCTTCAAGAATTAATCCATATCTCTCAAGGCTAGATTAGCCATCTGGGAGATCAACACTGAACATATGAATTGGTTTACATGTATATCTGAGCCATAAATATATTGGTTTCTTTCTAGTTTTTCATTCCCTGAGAAATCTACTATCTGTTCTAATAAAACATGTAATAGAAAAAAATAGATCTTCAATGGTTTACCACTTGCCATCAAAGGAATATAACATGTACTAAACACCTGCAACCCAAAAGCTCTTAGCATCTTTATTGATCCTACATCTATATTGGTCTTTTCTATCTTTTGATGTTTTGATCAAAGTGGGATACCCCATCTCCTGGTTTTGATCCATTAGCAGAGATGTAACCAAGGGAACATTTAAATCACAGTTGGTTGAGTCCACAGTCAGTATCTCTGAGTGGATGACAGATGTTACAATGAAAGTCAGTGACCAGCATGTCTAATGTTACCTTTGTATCTCTCATAAAACCTATCCAAATTGCTTCCTGTGAAATTACATGCATTCAGGAAGAAAAGAGGTCAGATGGGATTAATAGGTACAAATCAACAAAACACTTGTATGCTTATATTTCACTATGAGACGCATAAATCAATGCTTAGTGCTATAAGTACTTACATCAGTGCCCAGTTTTGTCAACATATGGTGAAAGAAATCATCAAGCTCCTTTTCTTCTATGTAACCTTTTTCTAAATTCAAGGAGATATGCATAATTATTAGCCACTTATCTAAAATAGCATGTGACTTAGAATTTATCTAAATTTGTTCTTAATTTACCAGTTTACAAGATCCCCACAGACACTGCTTTTTGTTGTTCTATTCTTTTTATTGTTCAGTATTCCTCTTTAGAATTTAGACAGTGAATACATGTTCCAGGGTAAATGATTTTTGCTGGGGTTTATACTGACATTTGGAGATTAAAAATATGCTACCAAACACTTGAATTTTAATTAATGAATGAGCTTTAGAATAAAGTTCAATGCAAAGATTTTGGAAATACTTCACAAGGGTAAATATTGAATTTAGTTGTGAGTGTTTTCACACAATATAGATATTTTCTGTTTCTTTATTAACAAAAACAAAGAAAAATAGTAAGTAGTTACATTTTGTTTTTATGGAAACTTTTTTGTGGAGAGATAGTAAATTTGAAAGTTGATAAAACTTACCCAACTTTTGAGAAAGTGGGAAGAGGGAAAGAACAGTAAATCTGACATCACGTACTTGAATCTCATGCCTTGAATACATACAAAATACTCTTTGACATCATACATATCTATATTTATGTATATCAATGCATAATATATACTGACATATATTATATGCACACACCCTGAATTTTCACCAAGGTTTCTAGATGTGCAAGAGCAATATACCAGTCGTATGTGAAATATACCGCACTAGTTATGCTGTTTTAATAACGCAGGCAGACTGCTTTACTTCAGAAAAAGACTGCAGAGAAGGAGACAATCCAGATGCTTCACCTGTGTGCAAACAGCTGGTCCTACTCACCATCAGCATCAAAGCGCTGCCAGACTTTCCAGAAGCCAGCGGCATCCAAAGGCCTGGATGTGGGTTTGAGAGCGCTGTCCATGGTGCTGACCGCCTGCCACTAGAGCGCTAGGATCCACGCAACTTAGGGAAGAACTCCCTTCAACTGCTGCCGGGCTCCTCTGTCTGCTTCTTTTTTTCTCTGCTTATCAGCTAGTGGTCGGTGGCGCTGGCTCGAGGCCAGTTGGAGTGGGGACTGGTGGCAAGGGGGCGTCGCTGAGCCGCGAACTCTCAGGGAGATCCGCTGCTGGCAGGTCGTCCTTGCCCCGCCCTGTGTGCTGCCCTGGTAGATCTGCAGGGTAGCTAGCGCCTGCCTGTCTCAGCAAGCGCTGTGTGGGATTCGGGAAGAATCTGTTTCCAGGCGTCCACGTCTCACTGCTCTTGCATTTTGACTTGTTTCTCAAACTCAAAGGAAACATCCCCCGCACATATGACTCACCTTTCAAACTAGTGTCTCAAGCAGTTTTCTACATGAGGCCAGTGGAAGATGTGTTAGTGCTGGGCCCCTTAGGGCCTGATGAGTTAGACATGGAGTGTAGGGGGAGGGAAAGTGAATAGGGGCAAAGTTGGGGCAGTCAGAGAGACATAGCTGCATGGTTTCCCTCATTTGTGGTAACTAGAATATGCCTTTAAATCTACAAGTAAACACCCTGAATAACTAAAATAAGTAAACGAATATATATAATATTATATATATATATATATATATATATGCACGCACACTGGGACATGATAAATTATGTAGGACTCTAGTCATTAACATTCAGAGGCCAAAGGAGGATATGCATAGGAGTGGTGGACAAAGGCTCAATAGCTATGTACAGATGATCACATAAAATAACATCCTATGAAAATGAACTCCAAGAAAAGGAAACGAGATTTTTTTTTAGTTGTCATTGTTGCTGTTTTTGTTTTCTTACCCTTTGGTCTTGTTTGTTTGTTTGTATTTGGAGGGTAAAGGAGGGCACATAAAAAGTGGAACAAGGTTGAACAAATACAACAGTGATACTCACTGTTGTACTCACTATGTGGAAAATGAACTGGATATCTTATGGGTAGGGATGGAAGGGAAAGACAGGGAGAGAGCAACCTGAGGGGAGGTATGGTTCAAAAAGAATTGTCCTTATTACTCATTACCTCATTCATGTAACTGTAACCTCTGTGTATATCACCTCTATAATAACAATAAAACTAAAATCCAGAGCCAAAAAAGTAGGGGCAATAGGCAAAGAGCCAATCACAGCAATTATTACGCTCTGATTGTATAGGACATGCACTCTGCTATGCTATTCTGTACCATAAGGACTTGAAAGTACAGAGACATGCTGCCAGCTCCTGTGTGTGTAGAGTGGCATCATTAAGACGGCCGAAAAAAGACATAATACTCATAAGCCGTGTTCTGCCTGGGAAAGAGTCTATAAGGAGACAGCTTGGCCCACTGCAAAGTTCTCAGATAGAGTTTTAGATTAGATTAGATGGTCATGTTTAACTCCAAAGAGCCACAGGAAGACCAAAAGCCAAAATCATTTGGAGGAACAAAAATCTTTCTAATGATGCAAAGTGTTCAACTCTGATTAAACGATTTCTGAAAAACAAGATCAGCACAAGTGAAGCAAGTTCTGGACACAAAATAATTAGAGAAGAACATAACTGGAGGGGAGGAAAAGAGCTCAGCATCCATGGATTTCTTATGTGGTACAGGGAAATTATTAGATACACAATCATCAGCCAGGAATGGTAATATGTGTGAACTCATAAGGTTTATAACTTGATGTTGTTTTCTAATAAATAAGAGAAAAAGGCAAATGTCAAAATTAATGTTCAAGTTCTAAGGTAGGGGGATGGTTAAATAAATGATGCATCTATATGGTGTGATTTGTTGAATATTAATGACGCAGAAGACTAACCAAAAAATATTAAAAAGCAAATTATAAAAGCATACATGTAGTAGGCCATAATTCTCTAACACCATGCTTTTCTACACATAGAACAAATCAGAAGGCAAATATTAATAGAAGTACAAATATTAGTAGTATTACTGATGCTTATCTCTGAAAGGGAAAGCTCATAACTGATTTTAAATTTGAAATTTATCAATCTTCTATTTGAAAACCTTCTACTGTTTGCATATACTGGTAACTATTTGATGGGTTTTTTTATTTTAAAAAGTGAAATCCAGGGAAAGAAAAAGAGAAGCATGGCTACTAGAAGTGCTATGTTCCTCAGGTTTGGAGAAAAATTGGAATTTGGAACACCAGGAGCCGGGCATCTGTTCACTGCAATATTTTTGTGTGTGCTTGTGTGTGTATGTGTATGTGCACGCAGGTGCACACACATGCACATGCATGCACTAGAGCCAGCACTGGAGCTTGAATTTAACCTCAGGCACTGCCCCTTAGATTTTTTTGCTCAACGCTCAACACTAACACCCTGTCATTTGAGCCACATTTCCACTACTGGGGAGTCTTACAGATTTTTCTACCCATGACTGGCTTCAAACAGCAATCCACAGATCTCAGCCTCCTGAGTAACTAGAATTACAGACTTAAATCACTGGATACCCAACAGTTACCTTTTTTTAAAAAATAAAAATACCTGCAATGACAATAGATATATGCTGTTTGCATACCTTACTGCATTTCTCAAGAAAATTATCTGAAACTTTGATAGAAAAGAAAGCCATTAGGAAAGTGTTTAAGGTACTAGGTTAGAGAGAGATACACTTTGTCTCACTGGAAAGGTTCTCTTACCTCAGGGCGAGTGTGAGGTGGGGATAGAGGAATAAGACACAATGAACACAGAATAAAGCAAAAAAATCAAAAAACAATCAACTAGGACACATTGTGCAGCATAGTGATTACTTTAACTCCTTTTACAGAGATCTTTAATGCTTTGGAGTAAGCCTCTATATTATTTTCTTTAAAGCTCCTCTAGGGATTATGTTGAAAGCACTTATCAGTCTTTTGTCTCTAGTTTCTTGCTGCTTAAATTGTGTTCATTTTATTATTTTGGCAAATTTGACTACTCTATAGGACAATCTGAAAAATAGAGTCAGTATTGTTTGTTATTAATTAATATTCCAGCATTTGAAAGAGATTCAAATTTATATAAAGCCATTCAGTGTAGTTTTGACAAGTGATGGGACCAAAATGAGATGTTTTTTCTTTTATTCCCTACTGATGTCGCTTTCTCCTGCAATCGTTTCCTGTTTTTCTCATTAGCATTGCTAATTGATGGTTAGTTGTACACGAAACAGCAATGATCTATAATTTGAAGCAAGGTTAATTGTTAATTAACCTTGACTCATGCATTCAATTCTAACTAAAACCCAGGATATTTCCAACTGGAACCATAAAGAATGGCTTATTTGATACCATTTTTCAATAGTTATTGAACATTCAAACATGATTGGCACCTCACAAACTATATAAACCAACTTAGAATTCAGAGACAAACTTAATTCAGTGCCATACCAACTTCAAAGGACAAAAGAAATAGTCTAAAATAAACTGGATAATGTTTATCAGGAGAAAAATAACTTAGAACAATGGAAATAGCACTAATGCTTTTGTAAAAATCTCTCTCTCTATGATTCCTTAACAATTATTCTAAAGAGTATGTAATTTAAATAGCATAGACCAGAAACTTTATAGGGAGTAAATAATCTTCTGTCTTTCAATATACAACCAACAATAATAATACGTAAGCCTATATCTTCCCAATCATTTAATTTGCACAAAAATTAAATTATACTGTTTAGTAAATTGTCTGTTTCAGTTAACATTATAGACCATGTCATTAAAAAAAATATTCTCCTATGATGTCATGTAACAGTGATATTATTATATAAAATTTTCTTTTTGGACTCTTAAAAACCTTAGCCTTTTTGTAGCAAAGTAATTAAGTGCTGGCCTAGGTGTTATTTCTCAAGGCTAAAGCTCTTCCACTTGAACCACAGCTCACTTCTAGCTCTTTCTGGTGCTTCATTGGAGATGAGTCTCACAGACTTTTCTGCCCCAGGTGGCTTTGAACCACAATCTTCAGATCTCAGCTTCTTAACTTTCTAGGAATTCAGGTGTGAGTCACTGGTGCCTGGCTCAATATTTTAAAGCATCTAAAATCTTAACTGAAAGTAAATTAAGTGTGTATGTGGTACAGAGCCCAAGAAAAAAGAAAATGCTTTTAAAAGCATCTATCTTTTAATTCACTTTCAGTTTAGCTTTACTAATCAATTGTTTGTAATTATTTATCATTTTAACATCACTTGCTTTTTAAAAAAATATTTGTGATTTTGTCTCAATGGTCTCTGCTTTTCTTATATTTTCCTTCTTTAAACATGCATTACAATTAATAATGTAATATTCTGATTCTATATACCTCTACTTGGAAATCTGATTCTACTGTGTCATTTTCTGCTAGATCTCACTAATGATACCTATTTCTTTTGTGCATACAAATACTTTAAACAATGAGCTTAGAGTAAATTTTTTAAAAGAATTATATTTGCTTACACTAGTTGCCTGGGTATCCTTTTCACAAGGCAACTTTAAATTCACAGATTGAAGGGGTTTTTAATTAATTTTGTTTTCAGTTGGTCATGGGTCTTGAACTCTGAGCCTGGGTGCTGTCCCTGAGCTCTTCAGCTCAAGCCGAGCATTCTATTTAAGCCACAGTACCACTTTCAGTTTTCTGGTGGTTAATTGGAGATAAGAGTCTCACAGACATCCCTACCCAGGCTGGCTTTGAACCACGACCCTCAGATCTCAGCCTTCTGTGTAGCTAAGATTATAGGTGTGAGCTGGGGCCCGACTAAATTTTTTACCGAGGTGGAATGAATTCATTCAAGCAGCAAACATATAATGAGGGCCAGTCTGTAATTAGATATTCTAAGTAAACATAGATAATGTTCTATTCTGGCTGGCCTACAGTTGGAATAAGCAAGGGTTTTGTTTTTTTTTTATTGTCCTGGGATTTTGAACTCAGAACTTCACACATGCTAAGCATACTTAAGCCATGATCCTAGCCCTCTTTTTACTTAAATTA